ACATATGGCACATGTTATTTTATGAAATTTTATCAGATTTTTTTTTAAAAAGAGATGGTTCATTTAGACTTACCGTATATTCCGGCATATAAGACGACTGGGCGTATAAGACGACCCCCAACTTTTCCAGTTAAAATGTAGAGTTATGACGACTCCCATGCATAAGACTACACCCGCGTATAAGACGACCCCTGACTTTTGAGAAGATTTTCTTGGGTTAAAAAGTAGTCTTATACGCCAGAATATACTGTAACTACTTTTTCAACAGTTTATATACTTTTACATCAGAGGTAGGCCATATGGATTCACATATGGCCTACCTCTGATGTAAAAGTATATAAACTGTTGAAAAAGTAGTTAAGTCTAAATGAACCATCTCATTTTAAAAAATCTGATAAAATTTCAAGAAAGTGATATGTTATTTCTTATGGAATTTTATAATTCACCTGCTGCTGCTTTAAAATAATTAATTAATTGGATTATCAGAACGGGCTTTTCAATAATTACATGTTTTATGGAAGAAAGCAGTATTATTTAGCAAAGATTCCCATCCAAACTGACATACATTTTCCTACTTATTCTGTCAGGCAGAAATGAGTATCAACAGCAAATGAAGTGTAGCCATAATGCAATTCTGCTGTGTCTATACAGAAGGCAACCTGGGGAAATCTCATTTGGCATTCCTGCCCCCACTACTTCATACCCCTGTCCTATTACCTGTACACTTCTTGCCATCTCCTTTATAAGGATGAATGCAGGTACATATATAGGAACCATTTGTGTTCAGGCAGGAGGCATGTGAGTCACAGTCCGAGCCAACTGCACACTCATCAACATCTACACAAAAAATAAAAAGGGAAAAAGCAACAAGTTTTGTTACTAACAATCACTAGAATCTCACATCATCATTTTCTTGACATGACTTAATATATGCTTTATTAGCAAAAGCGCTAAAAACTTGTCAGTGAATTGGCAAGACGCATAACAGGAGACTAGCAAGCATTGTTGTAAGATGCGCATCACTGTACAATATGCATTACTGCACAATGTACACTAGGCACTTGCCAGATCTGCTGTGTAGTAAAGTAACAGCAGCCCCCTACTGCCCAATTCTAATTCCTACATACAAAAATGTAACTCCCATACAGGATCCTGGGCTTTTACAACCAAAGAAAATATGATAACCCGGTGATTATTAATGTAATAGTTCATTAATTTCCTGTCATATTACAATGAGAACAATTTCTTCAGAATTTCTACTGTCAAAGGTTGTCAAGGTCTGTGTGTTTTCCAGGCTGTATGGCTGTATTCTAGCAGCATTTTCTCCTAATGTTACACTTGCATCTGTGGCTGGCATCTTCAGAGGATCTTCTGAAGATGCCAGCAGCAGATTCTGGTGAAATGTCAGAAGAAAGTGCTGCTAGAACACAGTCATACAGCCTGGAAACCACACAACACCCCAGTGTTCATAGTTCTCTCTAGAAAATAGCACCACACATCAAATGTATTGGTTGTTGTCTGTTTCCTATAAATGGCCCCAGAATAGGCACTTTTTGGATGAGAGCTCATTAAATATACAATTGGAGGCTTCTTTTCTTTGTGTTCCCTTTAATGGTTAATTCCTAGTGGGTTTTTGTTGTTGTTGGTATTATTTTTCTCTTTGGTTGTTTTTTCTGCTTTGTCTCTGTTCATAATCTTTGCTCCCCAAATCTTTTCACACAGGGACATCCTGATGCTCTCTTAAAAGTTTTCTTCTGTTATCATTTTGTATCTTATTCTCAGAACTCTCAAAATGATGCCCGTCCTTGTCCAACTTTTGAATCTCCAATTCAAAACAAGACGTTCTATGTGGCTGTACCTCTTGGTCTTTACCTCTAACTACACTGAAGTTAAGGAGCATGGAAGCACATTTGCACACATATATCCTTTGCTATCTTTGCTTCTCACCTCTCAATGTCGTCCTTTCGTGCCTTCATTTTGATATAAATTTAAGACCACAAAGGATGTTGGCTTATCTTATGCTTATGTTATTATCCAAAGTATCATATGCATTAGATTACTAACAACTGTAGTAATGTCACTCTAAGCCAGTGGTTCTCAACCTGTGGGTCCCCAGATGTCCTGGCCTTCAATTCCCAGAAATCCTAACAGCTGGTAAACTGGCTGTGATTTTTGGGAGTTGTAGACCATAACACCTGGGGACCCACAGGTTGAGAACCACTGCTCTAGGTGGGCCACAAATTATAATGATTCAGGAACTCAATCTGTTGTTTCATACTAATATGAAGTTCCATACCACCAATATCTGTTAAAAACATTGCATGAAGAATGTACAAGGGCAGCAATTTATATCCTTTCTTTACGTATGGCATTGCTTTAAAAGGACATAAGAAAAACTTATCAGAAAGTACTAAATCAAACAGATGTGGAGATACAACAAAAATGCAAACAAGTACTTTTATTATTGTAAGCAATGCCGTGAAAGCTATTTTACGAAATTCAGTCTGCAATGTTATCTGAATGCTACTCAGAAATGTTTAGACTCACATACTTGGAAGAAAATGCATCGTGAGCCACATAAATATCCTACTGTCGAGATCCAAAGAAATGTATCCAAAACATTGCATCCCTGAAAAGGCTTTTAGCTTATAGGTTTCTAACAATAGTTTCCCTGACTGCACAGTAAGCTGCCTTTGAAACTAAAGGGGACTTTGAAAAAGAATATGATATACAAGAGGTCTGCAACATGAAGTGAAAACATTTTATAAATCCCTTTGGCGCCTACCAGATCCTCAGTGTGTTTAAAAGTGATCTCTCAGCCACATTGAGTTTTGTGTTTGAGTCAACAAAGCCTTTGTGAGTACATAAATGAGCCCCATGATAACCATCAAATTTGCTTCTCAACTCACCAAGGCAAGATGGAGAAATAACATTCCAGCTTCCGTTGTCTGCACAAAACATCTTGGAATCTCCCAGCAAATAATAACCGCTGTTGCACTGGTAGGTAACAGTGCTTCCTGCAAAGTAATCCTCAGCAGAATGAAACCCATTTTCTAGTGGGGGAGGCACTCCACAGCTTATCCCTGTACTCAGACAATATAAGAATAAGCATATTAGGAGGTGAAACGTAATTGTCTAATCTAAGAAATATATTCTGGGATAGTTGTGTTGCCAGCAAATTCTGAAGTTAAAAATTGCTAAGGCTATGCACTTACTTTCACAGCGTGGAAGAGGTTGTGCCCACTGTCCTAGGTTTAGACAGTGCAGGACAGAATTCCCCATTATGTGGAAGCCTGGGTCACAAGAAAGTGTGATTTTTGACCCTGGCTTTAGATCGGTTGATGAAGTTCTTAGGTGAGGTATGGAGCCTTGTAAAGGTTGGCAATCTGAGAACAAAGAAACATGCACAGACAAAATTAGATAAATCTAGTGAAAGAACATTACAATAACAGGTCAACCAACCAAATGGCCATGCTGCATAGATTACATTTGCATAGAAGAGGAAGTATACCATCCTTTTATTGTCATTTATCATTTCACTGTTAGGCGAGCAAGTTTCAGGGTGGGGGCAGGGAGATACATGTCTGTATCTTTATTTGTCTCACCCATTTAGCCCTTGTGAGGTAAAGAAGTAGAATCATGAATGTAAAGGACTGGGAGTACAATCGTTTTGTAATGATTTCCAAATAAGCAACTCTGATTCCCGAACCTTTACTCTGATCACTCAGTTTTTTGGATACCAATCAAGTTGAAAGAGAAATGTTTTCTTGTTTCCCTTGAGAAAAGTATAAATTATTCCCTACCCATATGTTTAAAATAACATTTTACAAATAAAAAAAGAAACCAAAGAAACCAAGAGAGATTTAAAGTATTGTTCCAGGGGATGACTGGAATTTTTTCCTATTTGCCCAATCCTAATCATTACTTTTTCAACATCTGGATTCAGGAAACCGTAAATATCTTGCCTGAGGTCCCAATGAACATTTACTACACAACAATGGAATTTAAAGAATGAAAACTGAATGTTCCAGTCATTAAATTATCAAATGTTTCTACGCAAGGCCAGTGAGCCATGGGGATAATTGTATTATATGTTTCACATGTCATAAGAAGTACCAATAAATACCCAGATTTTCAAGTTTTCTTCTGGAATCTGTTTCTGTTAAGGGATCACTGTACTTATTGGTGATTTTGGCAGTCTGTTCATTACACACAGTTAATTTATGAGAAGTTTTAAAAATTGAGAAAAGGTAAGGTCAATAGGTACAAGAAAATCTATTAACAGATTAGTCCTCCAGACTCCTGATATATTTTAACTCCTTTCAAGGGAGTTTCTCAGCCATTACTGTTTTTTCCCACTAAGGCCCCTTCCACACAGCTGTATAAATTCCCACATTATCTGCTTTGGACTGGAATATATGGCAGTGTGGACTCAGATAACCCAGTACAAAGCAGATATTGTGGATTATCTGCCTTGTTATTCTGGGTTATATGGCTGGGTTATATGGCCCTAAGGCACCTCTGAAACTCTTTCATTATTTGCTAGGACTTTTCTTAACATATTTTGAAAAACACTGCACTATCATAAAATAAAAGTTCTAACCAGCACAGAAGATGCTCTTGGAATCAATCTTCACTCTTCCAACAACTCCAGGAAGAAAATCTGGCCAGGCCAATACATTGCCTTTTTGGAGTTCCTCTGGGCATGAAGTAGCCAGCAACTTCACCTTATAGTTGAAAAGAGAAGAAGTCTATATACAGACTGTTATGTCTGTTCCCCCAACGTCCACCCAATAATGAGGGAAGGAATTGTATACAACAAAGACACAGTTGGATAAACCAAACATTTTAAAAAATGTAACACTGCTGCTGTAAACCGACTAATATTCTAATTGTGATTTCCTTTTGAAAAAGCCATCTTATTTGCTACAAATGAAGCAAAGAAAAAACCTGGACACTTTACCAGGTCAAAGTGACCATAGCTAGTTTTGACAGCTGCAGAAATGAGCAAGATGTTTTTTACTAGGAGGTGAAATTGATACAGCATTGTCCAAAGGAATGTTTGAAACAAAGGCACCAGAAATGAAATGCAATAAAGGGCTTATTGCTATTTTTCTCCCTGCTCAAATGAAGTTCAGTGTGGTCAGCTGCCTTTTGGGAAGCTAAGTTTAGCTACTAATTTATCTGTACACGTTGTTGTTGTTTTGCACCTTCGAGTTGTTTTTGACCTGTGGCAACCCTAAGACAAACCTATCATGGGGTTCTCCTGGCAAGTTTTGTTGAAAAGGGATTAGCCTTTGCCTTTCTAGGAAGGTGAGAGAATATGACTTCTCCAAAGTCATCCGATACATTTCCATGTCCGTGTGGGGATTCAACCCCTGCTCTCCAGAGTCATAGTCCAATGCTTAAAACATGACACCGTACTGGCTCTCATATCTGTATATAGCCATATTTTTATACAATTTGTATGGTTAAAAAGTGTCTACTGCTAACGAGAATTTATTTAAAAGAACAAAACCAGATACTATGTTTTTACCTGTTCAGGGGACAGAACATAACCCCAAATATTAAGTTGGCTAATTGAACCAACAAAAGACTCTGCTGGATTGAATCCTTCTCCTCTTCGATCTTGCTCTTGTCCAAGCACTAGTGCACCTCCACCTATTCAAAAAAGAAAACCAACACAAAAAGAAGCTTCTGCGTCTGATGAATGAAACCTGAATGCAACTCATTGTTATTCTAATCAGTAAATAGACTAATGGAATATACAGGATGAATTAAATAGACTAAAGCACAGTTGATGATGTAATAGTAACTGGTGCCTGAAGTGGATGAGAAATGGTGTTCTACTCCATTGGAGAAAAAGTTAGTACTACTCAATTTATATGTTAACTTTACAATATGAAAACTACATTTTACACAGCCATAGAGTGGGCATTTCATACTTTCTAGTCCATGTTGTTGCTGTTTTTATATGTTATTGTACTGACATGGAACCAAATCAATGCAAAAGACATTTATAAATTGGCAATATTAAAAACTTTTCGGGAACTCTGCCTATTGTAGTTATTTTGGTTTTTTATTTGAATGCTGAATTTAAGTCCTCTGCTCTTCAGACAAGTTCTAGATCTATATAATAGGCATTTTTTCAACACTGTCTGAAATTACATTCAACATAATTTTGTCACTGTGATGGCTGGGAAGCGTAAGGTAAGGATGTTCACTCAAATGGAGGAGTTATGGCTTTCTGGTAGGACACAAAGACAGGAATGGAATGCATTTAAAAACATTCTTCATAGTGATTAGATATAGTAGTGCACTTTGACAAAACCAGTGCAGTACGTTTTATTGATTAGCCCACTGGCTGTATCAAAAACATTTGACAAACACTTACACATACAGTACAACATAAGTTAAAATAAACAAGCTCTAAAAAAGTTTCTGATCCAGATCAAATATCCGCATCACCCCTTCAGTTTACTCCAATTGACTCAGTTCTTAGCTGTGTTGCTTTAAATAGGAAAAGGGCTGTTCTGTATGTTATTTTAGCAATCTGGCCGGCCAATAAAAATGTAGATTTAATATACAGATCCCAATGTGTTTTTTTAAAAAATAATGTATGGCTTGAGGTATTGGTTTCTCTCTTTCTTGTACAAGTTACAGCTAAACAGGACATGTGCAATATCTTCTACCTCTGATGTTCCACAGATACAAAATCGTTCATTATATGGAACTTGGTTAAACCATCCATGTTTGACCATTGTATTCAGCTGTTCAAATCTAGTTCTGGTAAATACCCTCCTGAGATGTTTAGGCATTTCTGTTTTTAGATACTGGGCTATTTGAAAAGTATGTTTAAAACGATTTAGCCATTTCAATGAGCCAGCTTTACTGAGGGTGGCAATGCCTTTCTGAGCTTCTATATCCAGTAATCGTTGTGCAACCATTTTTGGATCTAGTTCTTCTAAGAGATTTGGATACAGAAACTGAAGTCTACAACTCCTAATGTGTTTTGTCAATGGAACTAGCCAAGAGGTCTGATGTTGATTTTTGTCTGATCTATCATACACAGTTTTGGTAGTCTGTCATATGCCATGGTGTTCAATATTACCCAGTAGTTATATGCCCTAATTTTGCATATGACAAGACCAGTGGTTCTTAACCTGTGGGTCCTCAGGTGTTTTGGCATACAACTCCCAGAAATTCCAGATAGTTTACCAGCTGTCAGGCTTTCTGGGAGTTGAAGGCCAAAGCATCTGGGGACCCACAGGTTGAGAACCACTAGACAAGACAGTTGAATCAGCCCTGATTATTGGGAAGAACAAAGGACACCCCAGTCTATAGCACTTATAAATAAAAGCAAGAATTGTAAATATAACTACATAAATACAAGAGGAGCCATACCAGGGATTTCCGATCCTACAGATAAGCCACTGCCTCCATCAGAAATCTTTCCATCAATATATACTCTCCAGGCTCCATCAAGACTTGTCCAAGTGACAGCAATATGATGCCACTTGCCATCATTCACAGAAGGGCAATCAGTAATACTCTCCTTCCCATTAACATAAAGAACCCACCTGTATTTATTAGAAAAAGGAAGAGAACGCGAGAAAGCCATATTGAGTTGCATGTAAACATGTCCAATGGTTTAAATAAACCACTGGAAAGCAGATGTTTATTGTTGACACAAATATTTACACAGATATAAGAGTGGATCAAACTGTCTTACATGAAACAGTTCAGCTGTGCTCCAAATGAAGAAACACAAGCTTTGCCTGGTGCTGAGTTTGTACAACAGATTAAAAAGGATTTCATTTACAAAAATAGAAAACACATGAAACTATTTTCTTCTTCTTTAGTGCTGATTCATTGTATTTGTCTCTTAATTTACTACTTCATTATACTGATTTTTAAATGTACAGTATCCTGAAATGTCTCACTAAAAGGAAAGTGTGATACAATTTTGCCTCCCTAACAATTAAAATAGACCCCGGTGCCATCTCAAACCAAGGTGTTATTTAGACTGCAATCCCTGGTTCCCTTGCAATTCTTAGTGGCTTCCTTTTTTGTCTTTAGTATTAGTTCCCCATTCTGCACCTTCGTATCTCATCTATGCATTACTATAAAATTTGAACCAAATAATTGTTTGTCGATTACAAATTTGTTGTAGTCATATGCTTTTACTTTTTCTATCTCTGAAATAATTTATGTGTTCAAATATTCCATGTTCTGGATCCTTAAATCCTTATTCCCTTTTCTACCTTATACCATGATTTGTGGTGTTATATACTGACATTAGATTGAGAATTCGTGTCCCAATATGTCTATACCAGGCATTGGCAAACTTTGGCCCTTCAGGTGTTTTGGACTTAAACTGCCACAATTCCTAACAGCCGGTAAGCTGGCTGGGATTTATGGGAGTTGAAGTCCAAAACACCTGGACGACTGAAGTTCGTCCATGCCTGGTCTATACCCAAATATATATATCTATATTGCTGTAGGCAACCTGATATTTTGCATCTGTTTTGGACTATAACTCCCATGATGTATCATCATTGGCCAGGCTGAGGATGCCTTACAAACCTGTAATTCAAAACATTAGGAAGATACTAGGTTCATTACTTTCATATATCCATTGTGATACACATGTAGATAAATTATATTATTAGCATAGCACAATATTAGTATTATATATTACTGTATTGTACTATACCACTATACTGCAATATTATTAGTAACTAGCTGTCCCCTGCCACACGTTGCCCCAGTGAAGGGAGTTGGACTGGATGGCCTTAAGTATTTTCTGTTGATCATGGGGGTTCTGTGTGGGAAGTTTGCCCCAATTTTGTCGTTTGTGGGTTTCAGAATGCTCTTTGATTGTTGGTGAACTATAAATCTAAGTAACTATAACTCCCAAATGTCAAGGTCTATATCCCCCAAACTCCATCTGTGTTTATATTTGGGCATTTTGAGTATCAGTGCCAAGTTTGGTCCAGATCCATCATTGTTTGAGTCCACAGTGCTCTCTGGATGTAGGTGAACTACAACTCCAAACTCAAGGTCAATGCCCACCAAACCCTTCTAGTGTTTTCTGTTAGTCATGGGAGTCCTGTGTGCCACGTTTGGTTCAATTCCATCCTTGGTGGAGTTCAGAATGCTCTTTGATTGTAAGTAAACTATAAATCCCAGCAACTACAACTCCCAAATGACAAAATCATTTTTTTTAGTGATGGTCATTCCTTGAGGTAGTAGGTGTCTTGTGGCCAAATTTGGCGGCAATTCATCCAGTGGTTTTTGAGTTGTTAATCCCACAAACGAACATTACATTTCTATTTATATAGATATTGCATGTAATATAGCATAACTATTATATTATATTGTATCATTATTAGTATTATGTTGTATTACAATATCATGATCAATATTGTATTATATTGTATTACAATATTATGATCAATATTATATATACATACAATATATTATAATTATTAGAATATTTATTTATTTATTTATTTCGGTTGCTTCTACCCCACCCTTCTCACCCCGGGGGGGACGGGGGGGACTCAGGGCGGCTTACAAAAGCGAGGCACAATTCGATGCCCGCATCACATAACAGCAAAAGACAATAACATCATTTAACAACAGCAATTCTAACAATAACCACAATTACCATAAAGACAATAATTATTATGGGTATAAACAACCATAAAACCAACAAAAGCAATAAAAATCCATACAAACCTCCTTGACGGTCAGCGTTTCACAATCTAATAGTTAAATTCCAATTCCACAATTGTCAGTCCTTTTAGTCCTATCCATCTGGTTTCCATATCTAATTGTCAGGTTGCCCAAAGGCCTGGTCCCATATTACTATATTGTCCTATACCACTATACTGCAATATTATTAGTAATATTACATTTAATATCTCATATACAATTATTATATATATTATTAGTATTATATTGTATTACATTATAATATTATTATCAATATTATGTGTATATACAATATATTATATTAGTAGCATAATATAATATATTGTATACATTTTATTAGTTTACTATTATACGTTGTGCCTTAAAAGTTCCACCTCATTGGGATTTTTTAATGGAAAAATCTAACCGCATTTGAATGTGTATGCTCTGCTAACATAAATATACTTTTTTAAAACTTTTTAAAAAGGTTACGACTACACAATCACAGTTTTTATCCCAAAAGAATTCAGAGCCTCACAAGAATTCAAAAGATGTCAAGTTAAGTCTTGTTGCTGTTTCATATACCCATTGTAATCTGTAAGCAGAAATGCATTGTCGCTTCCGTTTTCCACAGCATAAGAAACTGGAGTCCCATAATTAGTAGTGTCAGAGGATTTCATCCAGAATGCACATGTAATCTCAGTTAATGAAGGGAGGACGCTGTCAAGCATAACATAGCCATATATTCCAGAGACTTCAAAATCCAGATTAAATCTAGAAGACTGTTCTGCAACAAACAAGAAAAATGTTCAAATCTGTTCTCTACATTTTTATAGATATTGCATGTAATATAGCATAACTATTATATTTTCAGTGGCTTGCTTACAGATAGGCTTGTCCTTAAACAGAGAAAGGAACATCTGAAAAGTTATGGCCTTTTTGCTTATTTTGGCCATGCTGAAAGGTTACTTTTAAAATGATACCATGGCATCTGTTCACTCTTTAAAGTCCTAATATATTAGTATCATTCTACCCCTCAAGTATAATGAGTCATCTAACTTCACTTATATAAAGAACTGTGAATCTGTAGAAAGAAAATCACAAAGTGTAGACAGTTAATGAACTCATCAGTCAGAAAAATGCCAAAAGGGAGCTCAGTACTCCAGTGCGAACATGAGTTGTCTGTGATCACTGCTTCATTCCTACTACTTTACTATCAGTATCACTAGGGGGGAAGCAGTTTGGAGCTTGCTTTTTGTCTGTAGTATCTGAATGTGATTCATACTGTACTCAGGATCCAAGAATAGACTTTTTCAGTACACTAAATCTTCCTCTTTATTTGTGTTTCCTTAGCCACTGGAGACTTATCCCTTTGTACTTGAAGGAAATATTTTTTTAGCTGCTGGTTGAACTCAGAAAAAACAAGAAGGTTCAGTGTTTGACAGGTAGGTTTATGTCCCAAGTAGAAGAAGAATTGGATGTGTTTGCCTCTCTCATTTAATTATATCTATGGACTGCTTGTTTTACCCAAAGTGGGTAATCATGTTAGCCCATCTTGGCAGAAACTACAGTCCTGCAATATCCTGAAGACTTAACCAATTGACTATAGCATGGACTTTGGTGGACTACAGGCCATTTAAATTTTGTTATTGCTTTGAGCTGCTCAAAAATGTATTATTAATTAGATGTCACCTCCTGCTTTTACTTGAAGGAGAAAAAGATAGATTTCTTATATCAATAAAGATAAAATATTAATCTCTGTGTTTAAGTATCATTATTATCTAAACTTGCCATTGAAAAACCTACTATATCCATGGAAGCTGTTTGATATCAGTTCAAGATATTTTGCTTAGCACTCTATTTGCTTATACTTTGGTCCTGTGTACCTGTTTCACACCTGCTGCCTGTAAAGCCAGGAGGACATTTACAAACGTACGAGTTCAAGGCATCCACACAGGTTGCTTGGTTCATACAGGGATTGGATTCACACTCATTGATGTTCACTTCACACTGTGACCCTCTGTATCCTGTGACACAATGACATCTGTGAGCCAAAAAACAAAAACACTACTTATTTGTGCAGTTAAAACAGTGACAGACTGCTATTCATAATATGTAAAGAAGGTTAGCTACGTGATATCAAGGACAAAAGCATAAGAGCCAAATGTCAACACAGTCTGAGCAAACAAACTGGAAAAAAACCCAAAAGAAAACAAAAAGTCAATTGATAGGTTTAAACTAGACTTAGCAAACTCCACCAAGCACCATTTTTTTAAAGCATTCTTGATCTGGCAACTCTAGTCCTTATGAATCAATTTGGGATTAATACCTAAAATGTGCAGAATATGGATCCAAAATGCATCATTATTAAGTCCATGGAAGCCACAGCCCAGCCCAGTTGGGGTCTCTGGATGTTGAAGTCCTGGACACTGTTGCATATGCAACTATATCTTCAGGGAATATTGTAACCATGAGATAAAGTAGGGAAAGTGAGGACCAAATATTTCTACAGAATGGTAGTGTTTATGGTAGTGATGGCCAGTAGTTTGAATGGGGTGGTGATTTCACTCTGGGATTTAATCTGAACTTCAAACAAGTTATTCAAGGTAATAAATACTATTCCCAAGATTAGATCAGCACCTTGGATAGTTCCTTTAGAGTTCATGCTAACTTTTGGGGAGCATTTGTAGTTTCATTGGCATGGCAGTCGCCTGCCTTCAATGGTTTTAGGCTTAATAGAATTTTATTTTAGACTAAATCCACAGTCAAGACATATTTTTGGGTAACTAGAGGATGTTTAGGAAACATATACACTTATTTCTGGAGCAGATATGAATAACATTGTTAGTGTTGCCAGATCTCAGGCCCTAGTCCCGAGTTTCTAGTTTTCTTGAGTTATGTGTAAATTTGGTGGGCTCAGCTCCTAGCAAGAGGAAGAGTTGTGTGCAAATCTTCAGTTTAGTTATTAAAGCAATACTTTGCTAACACTTACAAGGCTTAACTAATTTATTGCTGCTACTTGAGCAGACTATACGGGGGGGGGGGGGGGGTATGATTTCTTTGAAATAGCTTTGTCCTGTCCTTCCAGTTACACTGGTACTAGGGTTCATCCTTCACTCTGCTCTACTTCTAACATCTAACTAAAAGCAAGATAAAGTACTCTTCTTGTATTTGGGAACTGTCTCTTTAGCTGAGAGTTGGGTATTTCGAGAGAAATATGTTATCTGTCTGTCACTGTGCTTATTTGAATAACCAGCTGTGGCCAACTGTGGTTAATGCATAACATGTAATAATATCACCAGCACCATTCCTTGATCTCAATTTTTGGCCTGTAAACCCCAGGGTCGTGATCCTGAATTGACAACTGAGGTTTTGAATATCATTAATGAATGATGAAGCCCCTCAGTTGACCTGTTATATAGTGCATTACACACAAAAAATGGTCTTGTTCACCTGTAGCCATTGATACCATCTTTGCACGTGGCTCCATTTTTACAAGGTCTGCTCAGACATTCATTAATGTTTTTCTCACACAGAACACCAGTAAACCCAGAAGGGCATCTGCAGAGGAAACTTCCAATCTGATCTTCACATGTAGCTTTGTTTAAACAAGGGTTTGAAAGGCATTCATTTATTTGTGTTTCACAATTAGTGCCTAGAGAATAATATAAGTAAATTAGATCAAACATTAGAAGCAATAAAATGCATAGAGAGGAAAGGAGCGAAAAAAATAAAATAGTCTTTTCAGAAAACACTGATTGATTGAATACATTAAAAAAAACACAAGGCGTTCACTGTAACAGATTGGCTGCTTAGGTGTACAACAGATGCTATAATCAATTTTGCTGACATGTTAAATTAAAGTTTAAAGCCTTTAACAATCTGTAATTTTTCATAAAATTTATCTTTTGTTTATATAAGTGAGACAGTGTAAAATGATGTATCCTATGCGTTTCTCAAAATGAAAGAGGACGCCTCATCCGCCCATTCTTTCAATACTCTGTGGATAATACAAAATTCCTTGAAGACTGTGTCAGGTTGAAAATATCTAAAAGGCAGCTTCCTATGAAGGAAAAATGGTCTACCGAGCTTGTTACACCTTACAGGTGTAAAATAATATATAAACCTCTTATTCCAGTGTCGCCACTGTTAAAGGCACAGAAACAAGGACCAATTTTAAAAGTTAGTCACTGTTGATAAAAACAATGCAATTCCTTACCCATGAATCCTTCTGTACACAAACACTGGTAAGAATTGATATCATCAACACAGACTGCTTTATTTAGGCATGGATTTGAACTGCATTCATTTATATCTTCTTCACATAGCAAGCCTTTAAAGAATTGTGGTTACAAAATATGTTAGAGCACATACATAGAGTCTTGCACACCTGCACAGCTAGATTTGCAATGGTATTTCCTTGGAACACTGAAATATGTTCTCCAAAATCAGCAGTAAATAATGTTTTTAAACCTACTTCACTGATTTAAGCAGGAGCATCCCTGACTTATTCCTACAATTGCCAGCTACCATACGGTCATTAATATCTTTCCCCCTTATTCACAAATTCAGAGATCAAATGGCCACCATCAAACTATAGCAGGGCTTCAGAACATGGGATGCTCCAACCCACCAGACTTGATAACTTCTTGGTATTTTGCAGTGACAAGCAAGCAATAAAATAATGTCCACTGATCCCCACATGGACTACATTTAGCTATTGTGACAACAAATGGTACAACAATAATTTGCAGTATGAATGAACTTGTGATATAGGCAATCTTGCAATATGATGTATCTATTTTCTCTGACAGGATTAGGTGACTATCCTAATGCTAAATTTAAATGCTAAATAATGGTATGGGGATTTTTCTTAATAAATATTGGATGTACACACTACTATTGCTCTTCTCTTTCTCTGGTGCTTTCATGAAAACTAGATTAGAAAAAAATTATTCCGTTTTTAATTAACAGCAATATTTCAATAAGCACAAGACTGTGAGTAATACGAACAGTGATTTATGAACATGTTGGATCAGAAATTAGAATCAGATCCTGGCTTGTTTTTATAAATCATAGTTTAAATCAGGGGTAGACAACTGTCAGGGGTTTGGGGCTTCATTTGCACCTCAGGATCCTCTAGGATTCAGACCCACCATGCATTCCTCTATGCCTGAAAAAGCCTTATGGCATCCTTTACCACCACTCCCACAGGTATTGAGGAGTTTCCCATATTTTGCATCTCTTGAGCTGATTCCCCCCTCCCCCAAATGGTCAATTTCCAAGGCCCTTCCTGTTAAAATAAAGGGCCTCTCCTTATGGGTGGTGGTGCTACAGGTCTGTGCCACCCAAAACCGCCTTGTTCTGTGGTTTGTATTTTCCCCACCCTTGGTTCACTCTCAGTTTACACTAAGCACAGTATGTCACCTTGAGATATAACAACCAACTACGTTTAGTTCAGAAACATACACAGCCATTTCTGATTTCTTCCCCATATTGTCAAAGTACATTTAAGTCATGCCAATGACTGGCACAATTTGGCTTCACAGGCAGCTTTGCTTCCCATGGTTGATGACCTCTACAGGGAATTACATGGGTGATTCTTCATGTTCTAATCAACTTATCACCATCAGTGCCAACACACTGTTTTTCAACTTCCATACAGACCTGAAACTGATCAAGTGCCATGTTGATCAAATGGTAACCAAATTATCCATTTTCTCCCATTCATAAAGAAGGGTTCCCGGTTGATTTTTCTCTCTCCAATGCACTTTGTTTGGCCTCAGTCAGCTGTGCTATTATGAAGCAACAGTGTGCTTTACAATGTAACTTCCTGGCATGCAGACTACCCAAACAAAGAACAGCAAATAGGCTGCATGCTGGGGGCCTGGAGGGGCATACGCTGAGATAGGTATGCTTGGACTGCACCTCAGACAGTTTATTTAAGCCTCAATCATTCAGCCAGACAATTTTGTATAATCAAACTAGGTAAACACAAACCATCACATTATGCTTTCTGTATGTTGCAATGATTTTATGTATATATTCCCCTCTAGTCTCCTGAACATTCTGAAGGATTTCACATCGACACACTAAGAATCAGCCTCTGCTTGAAAGAAAAATCCATAGAAGGCAATTGTAAAGATGAAACTAAATATGACCCACACACACTTTTTAAAAAGTATGAAACCTGGAATTGATGCTTTAAGTTCATTGTTTGTCACCTGAGTAGCCTGGCTGGCACTGGCAAGTGAATGCTGCAGTGCCATCCTTGCAAATCCCTTTGTTGAGACAGGGGGATGAACTGCACTCATCAATGTCCTTTTCACATTTTAAGCCTAAAATACAGTCCAAAAGGGGGGGGGGCACAAACACACACACAAAGAAAATGAAATTATATTTGGATTACTGAGAGCAAAGCAAGGCAAAACATCAAATAATTATAAAGTATAAAAATAAATAAAATGATATTTTTTTTAACTTAAAATTGTTTGGAATGAACCCATGAAAACAGTCTGGATGATAACTAGGAAGTTATGAGACATGTAATCTGATTCTTTCTATTCCTGTTCAGAAATATGTCCCACTGAAAAAATTGACTATTTATCTCAGGCCACTTCCATCCCAGGATCTGATCCCAGGTTATCTTATTTTAAAGGGATTATGAATCAGCACTGCCAGAAAACCTGAGATAAGCAGATATTCTGTTATCAGATCCTGGGATATAGGGACTGTGTGGAGGGTCCTCAGAAAAGATGGAATAGCAAGGATGGGGAGAGTCCAAGTTTGAAGGTTTTTCTCTGGAACTTTGACCACCTTTGTTGGAGTCTGACGCAAACAGACATTTTGATTTGAAGAATTTTGAGTTGAGGAATTTGCTTTTACGGAGCATCTTGACAAGGCAGAAACAGCAATGCAGATCCAGAGTGGGGTAATTCAAGTCAGCATTGCTGGAAGCTATATTCCATACCAATAGTTCTCAATCTGTGGGTCCTCAGATGTTTTGGCCTTCAACTCCCAGAAATCCTAACAGCTGGGAAACTGGCTGGGATTTCTGGGAGTTATAGGCCAAAACACCTGGGGACACATAGGTTGAGAACCACTACTCTATACCCTGAAACCACTCTGGCAGCTAAATGGCAGATGCATGGCCAAACAGTGCTTGAATTTGTTATGTGATGATCTGCCAATGGTGGTATCAATTAGGCACAAAAATGGTCACCACTTGGCACCTGAAGTGATGACATCCAGAGTACAGAGGGAGAATGGGGAAGAAGAAGAAGGAATCACTCCTCCCTTTCCCTACTTCCTTTTCCGATCATGAAGTGCGATGGTAGTGTAACCAATCTTGGCTGCTTTCTAAATAGGAAAAGCTTACACATGTCAAAAGTCGCAGGTTATGCTGGAGTTTTGGGAGAACATTGGAGTATCCCAAGACACCTGTTAAAGTGGTTCAAGTCTGCATTAAGCAGCTTTGGCCTTTATTACACCAAATCATCTCTTTGCACCATGCAACCATCATGGAGCTGATTTGGCCCTCCATGAAATTAAAGTGCCAGTGAAGGTGTACCCTTAGTAGCAGAACCGATATGAAGTCACACTATGTTCACTCACAAAAGTCCATTCAAGCTTTCTACACTCCAGTATTTAATTTGGGGCAGAGAATACTGTTTTTCCCTATTACCAATCTACTCTAAATCTATGAAAACAGAGGCTTTGATTCTAATGGAAGCTCAGATGCCACCCTCCCTGCTGATAAGCAAAAATCTTTTTGCTAAGATGACTTTTTGCAGACTGACTGGCTGCTGAGAAAAATGGATTTTAGCAAGGTAGGACTGCATATTTCTATATGAAGCACTTTAATTTGTCTGTGACTTAATGTGATTTTTGTACTCTCAGATTTGCTAACATTTTTATGAAATGTTTTGAAAAAAAGGTGGGACATAAATAAAATAAGTGAACAAAATAAAATAAAATAAATTTCCAAGAGGTATGCCTGATGCTCATCACTGATATATAAGACTGAACTATCAACAAACCTGTTGGGAGTAAAATTATTGGCATTCAACTACACTTATTTCTGAGCACATATAGGACTGTACCAATAAATCTGAGGCCCATCAATGTGAATGAGACAATATTGACACAAAGCTTTAGATAGTTCCTACTACAAAGTATAGTTTTCATCCACAATTAAAGAAAAACATGAGATAGTGATGAGTTTAAAATCATTGACTGACAATTCATAATGTGCATTTTAACAACAACTATCCCAAACAAGCTTCTTCACTGTATCAGCATGGCAACAGTGTTATTTACCTCCATATCCAGGTGGGCATATGCAGATGTACCCACTTCCTACTTGTTTGCAAGTCCCACTGTTATGACACGGTTGAAGGAAACATTCATGGAATGTCTGTTGCAATGGAAAAAAAAACACAATTTCTCACAAAAATAAGGCAGAAAAGACAATCACATCTATAAACAACGGACTAATTCAGGCACCCTCCACATGTCTTTAACTACAATTTGCATAATCCCAGATCGGCAGCTGTGCTGTCATGTTTGTAATAAGTGTAAAAACATTTTGATTCAGAACACTAGTGGGTCATTCACTGGACTACAGCTTGGAAGACCAAATTAAAATCTCCACTTAATCAGGAAAATCACTGAGTGAGCCACCTCTCTTTTAGCTTAACTAGCATGACAATATTGCTATGAGAATAAAATGAAAGCATATGTAAAACACGTACATACATGCACACAATCTGGGGCAAAAGTGGGATAAAATGATGATGATGATGATGGTGAAGATAGCAAATGAAGAAAACAACTCTTTGTTATTATTATTTATTTATTACTCACACAACATACTTTTCACATTAATATTTCTGTTAGAAAATTAGTATTTTTGAAAATTATTTTTGTTCTTGCCTGGCTGCTGATTTTGTATTCCTTGCTGATATTTTCTGGAGCGACTGGCAGGGCTACACTCTCCTCTGCTGCAGAGAAAGTAGAGCCAAAACCTAAATGGGATTGACATGAAAGCAGCTGTAAAAGTTACATTTATAAGATTGTTGAATGAAATGTTGTGAAACAGTCAGGGACATAATGCAATTTTATATTAATTACATATTCAGCTTAAGCAGAAGCATCCAACAAATAAAAGGTGTCTTACAATAACTCAGCTCAAGGCACATCTAGATTTGTCTTTGAGTTGAAACCTGGGTTGCAGAATTATTGGGAACTACTAAATTATTTAGGGTTAGCATTGGCAAATCCATGCGTTCAAATAAAAATCCATTTGAGATATTTAAAAATGAAAGTTGGCTGGTTAACAGCAAACATGCACACTGATTAGAAACAGTAATCCAATCTAGTTTGGCACTTAGTTCAAAATACAACTCCGTGAAAATTTTTTAGTCCAAAGTCTTAGTTTCTACAGAATATTGCCAATGCAACCTTAGTTAAAATAAACGAGGTTCTTGAACCAGTAAAGAGCTATGGCAATGTCTGTCTACCATAAGAACTTAAGGTCCCTGGATTTTAACAGAATTATGCAGATCACTATGCAAGCAGATCACAAATATCACAAATATCTTGAGGCACCTGAAAAGTGGCTACAGCCTACACATTTTTATGCACAATAAATCTTATTAGTCTTTGAGGTGCCACAAAAGTGAGAGAGAAATGATGAAGAAAAAGGCTTAAATTCCTCCTGGAACTCTAACATGTACACTGGTTGCCTGTTTCAGAAAATCAGTAATTGGGAGGAGCAAATATTACCTTCCATATCCCTGATTTGTATATTAAATTATTTGTATTGACTACTCCATACAAACTAAAGCTCTAAACTGACTAATGCCAAAGAAAAAAATGAACTGCAATATTGGCGGAGCAATACAAAATCTAACATGAAAGAAAACATTCTGCAATGTTATTAGTGCCAATCAAGCAAGTCTCTCAATAATAGCATGTTAATAGAGCCACGCCGGCTGGATTAAAAATATAAGAAGAATGGTCTTAGACAGAGGATGGTTCATCCTTGTTGCATTAAGACATTCAGAAGGATGAACTACTAATCCATTCAGACATAGGATGCTTTGGAAGTTCCTGAAGTCCTATAGCCTATTGAGTCTCTGCTGTACACAGTTGTCCCATTATATTTATTTCTTCTCTGAACGAAATGCATTATGGAAGATGAGCTGCTGGTTCTTCTCTATCTGGTCTGTTCCTTTTCTCCTTAAATGTGTGAACATTCACCAGAAAGAGAGGGAGAAGACAATCTACCATTCCTACAGCGGACCTTCCATTGTTACTTTTGTCACCAATACATTTCATCCTTTAGAGAAAACAACTTACTTGAGCAGTCTGTTATAGATCTAGCACCAATCACTGTGGTAGTCCCATAAAATGGACAAGACAGGCAATAGGACTTTCCTGGGTCTGGTTGATAGTAGTCCCTGGGGCAAGGGTGGCAAGGCATTAAACCTGAACGAGAGAATTCTCCAGCTGGACAAGGTACTGTGAAGTGTAAAACAAAACCCAGTTCGTTACTACTGTTCTCATCCAGTCACATAAATATTTCTTACACAAAAGACCTTCAATGGTGAACAAGGTGAGGCAGAAAAAAAGAGAGTATTGAGATTTCACTGCTATATTAGACAGCTGACCCTTTTTAGAAATTTTATGGAGATATATGTTATGAGGCAAGGATTCTGCCAAATCTCTAATATATGCAGATGAATCCAAGGACCATAATCTTATTCGCAAGAAAAGTACTGTAAAGCCCCTGAACCCTGTGATGGCAACAAATTCAGCTACACTGGTAAGACAAAATACCCTGATTGACTCCCCTAGTTCTGGATGTTGCCTACTCTTGGCTCTACATATGGATTTCATGTAGCTCTATTGTTTACTTAGAAAATTATGTACTTTATAAAGAAAGTAGAAGACAGACGTGACCACATACTGCTGTTCAAAAATATTTGAGCTATGAAGGGATCTGGAATGTAGGGTTATTCTGCACAATGTTTAGCAACATGCCTTTTTCCAGGAATTCAGATGTCACAAACCTCCACATGCTGATACATCCACAGCTCCTCTTTTGACTGTTGCCATATTTTCTGGGCAAGAAATGCATTGCTTCGATCCAGTTGCTGGCTGATATTTGCCAAAAGGACATGATTCACAAATCTCAAGGCCATTTGGTGAATAGGTTCCAGGTTTGCACTGAGCTGATTATGTAAGAACAATACATCAGAATTGAGCAACATGTAGCTTCAAGTATGCAGGTAGGCCAACAGCCAACAACCCAATTAGTCAAAGGCAAAATAAGCTATGAACGAAGTGTAATTGGCTATTTATAAACCATCAGGATCATATATCAGAATGGCTTGCAAAATACAATTAACATGGAGCATCTATCACTGTATGTTTAGAAGTGTTTTATGTCTCCATATGAAAAATATACTCTTAAGATGATAAAAATGTACTCCATGTTTGATAAACTCTCACCTTTACATTCTGAAACACTTCTGGAATGGAGATATTCAGTGTAACTAGCAGATGGGCAATTCTTACACTCTAGCTGTCCTTCCTCATCCTGGTAAGATCCAATCCAGCAACTTTCACATGCATGATGTTCCAGGGAGTAGTATGTACCCAAGGGGCAGTTAACTGTAATTTAATCAGATTAAATGTGAAATAAAAGATTGGCCATAGAATATGAAAATAAGACCTTGATGACAACTGCTTTTTTATTGGTAGAGTTTTCAAATAGCAGATGACAAGATAACTGTTTGTGTAGGGGAGCGTCCAGCCCAGAGACTTTATCATTTGGTCTGGCTTTTAGTCTCCCACCAAAATGCTAACCAAGTACTGACTCGAATCTGATGCCTTTAACAACTCATGCAAAAACTGAATTTCAGATGAAGATTAGGGAAATTACAGTACACAGAAAAGACCCCAAGACTTGGTGATGCGAACATTGGATATGTTGCAAATTTAAAATGCAGGATCAGAATAGTAATAAAAGAAAATAATTTGCACCCAAGACTGCACAACCGTGGCTGCTGTGGATGACTTTCCTGGATGTCCTACAAATAAACAGTGCCTTCATCTAGAAATCCCCACAGACCAAGCTGCAGACAGAATAGTTGAAGCTACAAAGGGGTTCATTAATTTTAGGATCTTCAAAATTGAAATGACAAGTGGAGATAAAGTACCTCCCTCTGACAACAAAAACCTTGCGTTAGTGTAAAGAACAGTTTGTATGTGCTTGTATGTTTGTAGTTTCCAGTGACTCTTGTTTTCCATATATATTCTAGACAGAATCTAAACAAATTTTGTGAAGATGCTGGAGGTGCAGAAAAGAGGCTGAGTTGTGGAAAATTACCTCATTATATGGGTCTACATATGCATATAATACATTAAATTGCATTATATGAGTACACTGTTCCAAATTACATTATATGGCAGTGAAGATCCAGCCACACACACTTTTAAAAGAGAGTTAATAGAATAGCAGAAACTGGAATCTTTAAGTGCTAATGTTACAGAATACTGTTTTAATTCCTGCTTAAAAGGGGGCTACATTCCTTTCAGAAATTGTAAATATGATATAGAATACCAAGATTTTGAAGGAATTTTACTTACCACACATTCGGCCTCTGAGAACCGACCCAGGCCTGCAAAACAGGAAGGCTTTTTCGGCTTCCAGTGAATTGGTGTCCGCTACAAGCAGTTCAGAAGACAACTGAAAAGAATACATTGGATCCTTACTGAGAGTCCTTTTCAGCCTTTTTGTGATAGTCTCTAGTGTTTTTAGAAGACGTTGCTGGTTCTCTGATTCCAGTGTATCATTTCGTTCATCAGGCAAAGGTACACTAGCTGGGATTAGGAAAATAAACAAACAAACCTCACACATATACACAGAGACATTACAGATTTGACTGCCACAATGGGTCACAAGAAAGCAAGAGAGCATAACAATCCTGAGGCACAAGATGTAAAACATCATACTTGGCAAAAGAAAATGGCTCATAAAGGATATTCAAAAACCACCCTAGTTCTATAATCAAGTGGATTACATAGGTGCAAATGTAATGATACAAACAGAGTGATAATTCCATCAAGAGAAGCTACACAATACTAGTTGCGGTTGCACCTGCATGCAAGTGGCTGTACAATGCAATTAGCTATCTAGTTGCAGCATTTCTTCCACAACTAGTCACACAAAACAGTTTGTGCACCAAAAAACACCCCAACTTTGCATTAGTCGCTGAACTCTGAAAATGCACATTGGGTTTGAGGGGCCTTGCCATAGGATATACTGTAACTGGATATTGACTTGAAAAGTTACATTTCTTGGAAAATAAAAAAGACAATTTTCTTACCAGTTATATTAAAAACTAGCTTTATTTTGTAGTCTGACATTGGTATATTTATCTTTTTGTGCCTTTTGACCCGTGAGTGTGTTACATCCACAGAACCAGCTATTGGCTTAGCTTGCTCCTCTTCAGGGATTGCTTCAAGGAAATCATCATAAGAATAATCTAGCCGGTTTGCTGCACCCCAGCCACCGGGACCTGAAAAATATTAATGAAAAGGGGAAACAGGACAATGGAAATAAGCAACTTCTACATATGTCAACAACATATGAAGCGCTGTCAACCTTGGAAGGAAAAAAAGAAAAAAAAGAAAAAGGCCTAGTGGTAAAGATTTGACTTCAGATTTCTCTAGATAACACATAGAGAATGGCTTGGGAGCAACTAAATAAATCACATCTGTGGCTTCACTAGTTGAATGTGAAAGTGAGGATTGCTTGTTTAACAATTCACAGCCCACAAGGGTTGGATCTACACAGCCTTATATCCCAGGATCTAATCCCAGATTATCTGATTATCCCAGATAATCTGGCAGTGTAGACTCATATAATCTGGGATCAGATCCTGGGATAGTGGGGAAGTGTAGATCCAGCCAAGAACAAACTAGAAATTAGGGGTTTCCCACATAAGTCCTTTTTGTTACTAGACATAATGTTTTTGTTCTTCACCAAGAATCCTCTTATTGCATGACGGAAGTTATAATTGTGAAAGAATATTGGAATTTCACACTTTTGCTTTATTCTACAGCTGTGTTCCATTTCTCTTTCTCTTGGGCTGAAGCAACACTGCTCTATATCCCAGGATCTGATTCTGGATTATCCGCTTTGACCTGGATTATATGAGTCAGACAGATAATCTGGGATAAGGAAAAAATTTGGGATCAGATCCTGGAATATAGGGCATCGTAGATCCAGCCTCAGTCTTGACCCATCTACACTGCCATATAAAATCCAGGTTATCTGCTTTGAACTGGATTATATGGCAGAGTAGACTAATATAATTCAATTCAAAGCAGATAATCTGAATGATCAGATTTGATAATCTGGATTATATGGCAGTCTCGATCCAGGGTCCTTCTACACAGGCCTCAGTTCCAGAAGGAACTGGGATGCTTTATCCAGTTCCTCCTGGGATTGAGGCCCCACACCCACCCCAAACCTAGGCGTCCCTTGTGGAGGGTGGGGACTGGCAGCTATATGCCCTCCTGGGTCTACCATGGAGTCAGCCCCCAGCCCTCCATTTACTCCAAAAACATAAATGTATGCTCAGGTCCCTTTGGAGAAAGCTCCTGGCTTATTAAAATGATGCTTTGGTAGATTAAGGAGAAGGAAGCAGCCAGGCCCAACATCTGGAAAGATCCGATTCATGTTTCTCTGAGATGTCATTTGGATGACCCCCTTTTAACTGTGGGAACTTCCATGTTAAAGGGGCTGTCTGGATGTGCCCTAGATTAACATGAGACATTGTTTGGATGCCTCAGTTTACCCACAACTCATCACGGGTTTTGGGCCTGTGTGGAAGGGCCCACAGTCTTACTTCCAGGTAGTAGTAGTGCATGGGATCAAAACAGGGAGTGTAGTATTCTGGCTGTAGAAGATGGCAGGAATGGAGAAAGAGGGTTTGCCTTCCCAGACTCTCTAATTGTCAGGGTTTCTTTGTGGGGCTGGGAGTATGTTTGGTGTTCTTTTTTTCCAGGATTTTTAAAAAAATCTCATTTTCTTGTTACTCATGACTTTCTGCATCCTTGCTCAAAAATAAAAATCAGGTATGCTTCAGAACAGTCTGCAAAGCCACTTTGCCATGCTTCAATTTGGAATCCCACAAGAAATGTGTACAGAGTGGAAATAGTGATGCTAGAAGCCAGGAATTAACTGCACTCAGAACACAAACACAAAACACCCACCTCATGTCTGCTGACTGTAAAAACAGATTAATTAAGGGGCTGGCTTAGGCATAGAATAGTATCACAACATATGAACATTACTGATTTTTTTCAAGAGGTAATAATGATGAGAAAAGAGTGGAATTGAGAAAAGTTCGCAGCTACGTCATGTGAAAACTACCATGACCACACATTCCCAGTCCAATTAAAATGCAGTTTAAAACACTCAATAAAGCCACATGGAGAGAGATAAGCCATGATTTTGATTCAAATGCTTTGTCCAACCCTTCGATTTGCAGATGGAGCCAAGCGAGAAAAACGAAGCAACTTGCAAACTTCTATTTTCAGAGGGAGTGCAATCTCATCTAACACAGGCTACATACCTATTCCTAGATCAGTCTTTCATCTGACCTGGAGTACCTCTGTCTTGTCTACATTAACCTTCAGTTTGTTCACCCTCATTCAGTTCATTACAGCTGCCAGTTTAGCACAGGAATACCTTCTTTGGAATTAGGTGGAAAGGAGCTACTAAAGCTGGTTATCACCTGCATACTATTATCTTCTTCAAGTAAAGCCCCTTTTACACTGGCCCTATAACTAAGGATCAGATTCCAGATTATCTGATTATCCCAGATGATCTGGCAGTTGAGACCCAGGGCCCTTCTACATATGCATTATAACCTGGGTTAAATCAAGTTAGGGTGGGTGTGTGTCTAAACAACATTTAGAGAAAATGCGGGAGGAATTGGGTTAAAAGCTGGTAAATACATGTTTAAAAATGCCCTTCACATGCTGAAGAGAACAAATTGAAATCTGCCACCCTATACTGCATTATTTACAAGTTAGTGAGCAACAGAATAATTAACTTACCAATTGCAAAGCCATTTTCATAGTCATAATTATACTCTAAGCAATGTTTCTTTGGGGAATCCTCCAACCTGCAGTCAATGTCATCAACATCATTGCAAAATGATGGGACCTATGAACCATATTAGAAGAGGAAAGAATAAAGGCCTGAATTCACAAAGTCAATATACTAGGTTGACATTAAATAATTTAAATTTTATATTCCACTTCAGAAATGAATCGTTTTTATCAATCAATAATGTTCATAAATTGAAAAGTAGTCAATAACAGTATTCATAAAAATAATCTTGTCATTCAAGCAGCAAAAACTAATAGAATAATTAACTAAGAGTCTACATTAGAAGTATAACAGATAAATTTTACTTCTGATTCCCCCCCCCCCCACAATACATATTGCATGTTCAATATTTTAAAGAAAACTAATCCATTTTCAATAAGATAGTTTTGAAGTGTATTACTAACCTACCATTTTACCAAGAGCACTCTGGAAAGCATCCACAAAATTTTTAAGAAGGTTATTGTCATCACACCGTGTTGCTTTGTAGAGCATCTCAAAGGATTTGAAACCATGATTTGCCAAACGATTCACTGAAAAATAGTAAATATGCAGAAAAGTATATTGGTCTAGTTTATACTACTGATGCAAGATATGATACATCAAAATGGAGATAATTTTCTTGGACCATTTGTATAAACAAATAAACAAGATATGGACTTTTAAAAATCAACAGTGGATGTATTAAGATAACAGGGTCTGTTTAAAGTAAGGCTGCAATGCAGTGTGGAGTGAGGTAGAGAATAGATAAATACGGAGCTAGAAAAATAACTTGTTGGTGAACAAACTTTGAGAATTGCCCTATCTACAATCATCTATGTGGCAATACTGTCTGGGATTATTTGAGAGTTGTGATTCAAAAATATTATTTTTCCAAGCATAGGCTAAAATTTTAAAATAAAAGAACCTGAACATAGTAAGATTCCAAATCAGGATCCTTATTTAGTACTATTAAGAAGAAATCAAAATTTTGCTGACATATTTAATCATTTCATTAATTTTATTACATTTTAATGGCTAGGGATTAAATTCAATTTCTCCTCTGGAGAGTACACTAGGAAGGGGAAAAAATAATGCTGCCAGAAGACAGGAATTCATCTTAAATCTGTATTAAATAATAAAGAACAACCTTAGTTATTCAAATAGATATGATTCAAACAATTGGGATTTTACTGGCTCCACACTTACAAGTATGTTAATTGATCTTAACACACACACTTGTTTAATTCGAATAAAAGAACCAATTTACCAGAATTAAACTAGGACACTTAAAAATCAAGGAAAACAACATCTACTCAAATAACACCTGAAATGTCCACAATATCTGAGTAAGTTCAATTATAAAGTGAATTATGCAAGATAAGGAACGATCAGTCCAAGGAAACACAAGAAGGGAGGTGGGCAGGGAGACTGCAAAGTGTAATGGGAAATGGACAGAATTCCTAGGTTCTGTTAATAAGACATCAGGATTCAGTACCAATGTGCCAGATTTGGGCCTGCTCCAGGGCACATTTACACTTAACTGCCCTGTGTAGATGAGTCCCTAATCACAGATACAGTTGTCCCTCCACTTTTGTGGAAGATATGGGTCCAACTATCCCATGAAAGTTGCAAAACCAAAAATATCTCTGGAGTAGTGAAATTGAGTGCTGTGACAGTAGTCCCAATGGGGGGAGAGGAGGAGGAACCAGCCCCGTGTACCACTTCACTTACCTTGTGGGTTGTGGCTCCTTTTCTCTTCCAGTATACAACAAATTCCCATTTCACAAAGGAAAGAAGATACCGGGGTGAAAAGAAACATGCAGCAAATAGGAATAAGTGGAAGAATTGGCCTCACTAATGCCTGCAATTTCACTTCCCCTGTGGATCCAATTCCTCCTCTTTTTTCTGCCCCATAACACATAGAATACCCCCTTCTCCTCTCTAATTCATTCAGGCCTTTGCTCCACCATTACTAAAAGTAGGAGTGGGTAAACCTTCCCATAAAAATCCTTCCTCCAAAATCTGTCTTATCTCGTGTTGCAATCTTCTATGGAGCCTATCACCGACAGCTACAAAAATCATAAGTAACTGGTTTAGCTCTCTAAGTACAAATATGGCATTCTACCAGCTGGACTTATGGGGCCAGTAACATGAAGCAAGAATTCTAAATTACCATCTTCTTCTGTTCCAGAGAAGATTTCATTACAATTCTGGCAGGATGGAGAATACCAGCTAGAGGGAAGGTGAGAAGACTCTCTTGGATGGCATATAGTATGTATTAAATGTATTCCCAATTTCTCACTCTACTATCCATCAACTAAGGAACATATAAGCAAATTCAAGACTTTCTGATCTTTCTGTTTTCTCTGACCTTCCAAAAATCCGAAACAAGAAAGCAGACTTGCTGTCATATGAATGCTTACTACACGGAAGAGTGATTTAAAATGGGCAGACACCTAGAAAATCAAATAAATAATAAACCTTACAGGAGCAGTCAGGCCACTCAGTAGAGTAAGGTGGATTCCATATACCATCTGCATAGGCACAATAATAGTTTTCACTGGAACCTGCTGTGAGGTCATATCCATCCATGCAATGTAATGTGCAATTAACTCCTGTCTCATCTTCTATGCATTTGAAATCCCCATTCACTGGGGTAAAAGGAATTTCACAAGGAGAGCCTGAAAAATAATATTTTAAAAAACACATTAGGCTAAGGTTTATGTACTCCTTTCTTTTATGTAGTGCACTTATTTCCCTGATCTAGAATATTGAAGCTGTGGCACCCGAGGGATGAGAAGATGGGTTGTTGTGAGTTGTCTGGGTGATGAGAGGATCTCAATTTTTCCCTTTCTGTTATTGTTCTGTATATGTGCTCTTCTTCCAGTTCTATTATTTTCACATGTTTATTTAATGGGAATTTCTAATATTAATTTTGGAAGTGGAACTGGCACAATTTCTAATCATTTGTACTAACAACACGCACATACCCGTTAAGTAGTTGCTACAACAGAGGTCATTAGTTATGATTACATGAATGATCTTTTTGTACAGCATTTTACTCATGTATGCTAGCAAACTGTGAAGGTAATCAATCCTCAAATAAAATTCCACTGACATATAATCATATAGATGTTTTTATAGATGTTACTAATGAGTATTTGTTTTGCTAATCATGGAGACAATTCATAAATGAGCCAAAGGAATGGCAAGTTACGTAAAATGCATGTGTGAAACAATTGGAATAAAAACCATATGGTTTCTGGATTCACTTGGGCAACAACACTGAATCCTTTGGAATTTCAATTTCAAAATTTGAACTGAGAAAAAGGCCTCAACATGCATCCTATTGCACCACTGAAACAAACCTCTGACGATAACATGGAGCTCACAGGTCCTGTTATTTCCCGATGGATCAGTGGCAGTGTACCAAATAATTGTTTCTCCTTTGGGAAAGGTATCTCCAGGTGAGTGACTTTTAGTTATTGCTAAGTCAGTTCCTAGAATAGTCAGAGACAAGAAAAGGGAGTGTGCTTTGAAGAGAAATCTGGAAATACATTTTGCTTCTATGCAAATCCCAATAAAAACATCCCAAGATGTTTCTGGAGTGAGCCCTTTGCCAATTTTAGCCTAACTATGGCTTAACCAGTTGTCTAATTACTTTTACTTCCAATGGCAATGTGCAAGGCTGGCTCTACCAGTAGTTTCAGTGAAGCTTTCATCTTGACAGTAGGTGCCAGGAGAAATTAATGAAGTGGCCCCTTTTCCTGTGATAGGGTCTTTGCTGTTCTACACAGCAGCCTCTCTTTACAGTTCTCCAGAACTTGCAATGACAGGGAATACCATTGCTTTGCCTTACTTTCTTATTCTGTGAGAATACTGCCAAAAGCACCACCAAACTCTCCTCCCTTTCAGTGACCACTGCAGCTATTCCTTAGTCTTTACATGTAAGGCGAGCCAGTGGGGCTGTAGCACCAACATATTCATCTCTTTTGGGGAAGCAGGACATTCCAGTACTTTCCATGTATATTGTGGGCTTTCCTGAGTTAAACTGCCTTTGCTTTGTTTCAGACAATGTTGGAAGGGAATGTGCTCCTGAGTTTGCTGGAAGCTCTCAACATATATTGTAGCCAGATCACACAAGAGCCTCTGCTGGTGTCATAAAACAATGTCCAGGATGGTCAGAAACTCACACAGAGTTCTGTGGCCAGTTATGAATGGTGGTGAGGTGATAGTCCAGTATGAGGTCTTGGCCTACCTAGACCATTGTGGCACCAATGTAGTACTGAAGCAGGTTTGGCAGGGTGCAGGTAGTTGCTCCTGCATCCTGATATTCATATTCAAGTGCCTAGGAATAGACCTTTATAGACAGACAGTGTCTGTAAATATTTATCTCTCTATTTGAGAAAGAAAAAAAAAACTAAATACTTCCTTTGCCTCTTTATAAGATGCATGTTGGGAGGGAGGGGGCAATGTCAATACCACATTGTTGGGGGGGGGGGTGAGAATGCCCCATATAGGATGAGATTGGGGGAGGTAAATTACTTCCTGCCTTGAGCAGTGGACAGACATATGTATGACTATAAATGATGTGTGATGTGTGTACAACAGATACAGACAGTCCCCAAGTTACAAACAATAGTAATAAAATCTGGGGGCAATAGCCTTGTTCTTGAGTTGAATTTGTTTGTAAGTCAGAATAGATACTTTTAAAAGTGCAACTCCAGCTATACATACACATATGTATGTACACATACACACATGCTTGAAATAGCATAAAAGTTAATACCACTGTGGTGTTTGTTTTGATATCTGTGCCCCTGTTCAGAAGATCTCACCTCATTTTCTGTCCCTGTGATAATTGGATTTTGAAAATATTCCCTTGTTGTGGGAACAAGGATTGGTGAGAGATGGTCAATGGAAACCCCTTTCCCCTATTATAGCTCTTACAGGAGTGAATTTCCCTTCTGAGGGGTAAATGTCTCTCACTTCTTGTTTTCTCATCCCTAGTCTTAACAAGGAGTCATTTGTAAGTCAGACATGTGTAACGCAGAAACTGCCTGTATCTAATTATTGTCACAATCATATACTGCACTATGCTTTTACTATCTGGATGAAAAGCATGTAAAAATAATGGAAAATATTGTTGCTCTAATAATTTTTATTACTATATGCTAAAAATGGCTTTTCTTGCATTCTAGAAGTTAACCTATAATATTAGCAATTTCCTGGTCTGCTACTTCTAACACACGTGGGAGGGAAAACAAAATAATAGTGTTTACTTCTCATTATCACAAAAAAGTCTTATTCTAACAACTTGCATTTCTTAATGCTAACTACATTTCTTCATGTGGTTTGAATAAATACCTATTGGAAGTTCAATCTCAAAGCTCATCAAAATATAATTTAAATAAATGCTCCATATTATCAGTTAGATAACTTTTTGTTTTCTGAATCACAATCACTCACCTGAGTTATCTGAAAATTGTGGCTCATCCCAAGTTACTTTGCATTCCTTTTCAGCTACTTGAACTGGAGGTGGTGATCTACATTTATCAATCACTGGAGGTTCTGTGTCTAAAAATGTGAATATATCAAAGGAAACTGATTCTAAGGCAACACAAAAATGTAAACAAGAACACCAAGGGAAACTCAGAGGTGCCATGCAATAAATTGCATGCTAATAAATTCAGCATAGATAGTTAAACATAATGTTTAAGACATCAGTAAAAATACTTCATACAGATACTTTATACATCATGTTTAAGGCTGCAATACTGGCACTGCTACTTTCATTAAAGCAGACATTTATATCTGTCCCCTGCTAGTTGTCAATCGCCAGACATTGTGCAGACCGCAAATGAAGAGTCTAAGCATATGTAAGCATTGTCAAGTTGCTTCCTGAAGCTAATGGAGGGGATGAGTTCACTGCTGAATGCTTTTAATTTCAATACAACTATATGCCTGATACGAATCATAGGAGTGCTTTAACAGCATGGAATAGAGGGCTTTCTCAGCAGAAACATAAACTTCTGGAATACTGCCAGGATCCAACATAGCCAAGAAACCACATCCTCAACTATATCTCACTGCAATCTCACATGGTGTAATCCACAAAATCATGCAATCTAAATCACAGCCATCCTCCACACCAAGCCAAGCAGGACTGAAGAATGGGAGTGGATTCAGAGTTATAATATCTGGAGCTGTTTTGGTTTAGGGAAAAGGTGAGTATGAGTAGATATGAGAAAGGTGTATAAAGTTATTCATGGGAAAAGCAGAAATGTTTCTAGATTTCCCATAATTGTACAATCTGGTGTCATGAAAAAAATGGAAGAGTGGGAGATTAAGGGCAGGTAAAATGAATTATTTCATCTAGTGAACTGTCAAAACTATGGAACTCGGCACTAGAAAAATGTAGCAGTGGTCATTGATGTGGATAATTTTTAAAAGCGTCAGGCACATTCATGAGAGATAAAGCTATACACTGCTAATAGTTTTGCTATTATGTGTTGCTTTCAGAATCTGCCTCTCAATAGGAGTTGCTGCAAAAAATGAGAAGAAAGGTGCTATTGCACACATTTCCTTTATGTGGGATTCCTACAGGAATTTAAGTTTAATCATTCATTCAAAAGGCACATGGATGGTGGTTTCTCAGTCACTTCTTTCAACGAAATCTTTTTTTTAATCAGGAGGGGAAAGGTATCTTATGAGCACCAGGTGATATGTCTTTTGGTAACACATTTAGGACTATTGTAGGCTGAAGTGGTGTAGGGTGAGGAGATCTGTGTCTACACTCTTCCTTTCACAAGTGATTTTTTCAGGTTCTCAAACAGATAAAAACCTCTGTTTAAAGTACACTGGGGGCTCATCTACAGTGATCATATAGATCAGTGTGAGGTCAGATCATCTGAGCAGCAGGACTGCTGACTGACAGGTCAGTGGTTTGAATCTGGGGAGAGCGGGTTGAGCTTCCTCTGTCAGCTCCAGCTCCCCATGCGGGGACATGAGAGAAGCCTCTAACAAGGATGGTAAAACATCAAACATCCAGGTGTCCCCTGGACAACATCATTGCAGACAGCCAATTCTCTCACACCAGAAGCGATTTGCAATTTCCCAAGGCGCTCCGGACATGGAAAAAAAAAATCTGAGCGGAGACTAAATGCCACACATGGCTGTTTCATCAAAAATTGGTCCCATCTTAGTGAGAGGACATAGGCCCAGTTTCCAAGCCATATTTTCTACTGCACACTGTTCACTTTAGTAAAAGGCACAAGTACAGGCTTTCAATTTTAAGAAGGAGGCAGCTTTAAGAGACAGGATGTATGTTTCAGTGAGTATCAGCAGGAAAAGTAAGTGTGGCTGAAAAGGAAAAACAAACACAACACCTATCATTATTTTCTACAAACGAGACAATGTGGAAATCCACCATCAAGCATCATATACAAAGGGTAGAACTATACTATAACTACATTTAATCCACTATTGTACTAACAGAACACCAAGAGCAGCTTGTGTCAAGTAGAAAACCACAAGCAGCAACCAAGTTAAAATGAAAGACAACAGAAACTATATATTAAAACCCCATTGAAATAAATATGTTTGAAATTATGTAGAAGAAAAGAAGGATCTTGATGAAGCTCTGCAATTAAGAAATTCACCAAGTACATTTCAGAGGCATGGCTCTAGTCTATTCCCAAAGGAAGTGCCATCTCACAAGTTTATTGGTCTAACAATGCAACTCTGCTACTGTATGTTTTGATGTTGACACTATTAAAGCTTGTGTTTCACGGTGTGTCTTCCACACCTGGAGCAATGCACTATTCTAGTACGCGGAGTAACTAATAGGTTAGTGCTGAGATGACTGTACAGGGAGTTGGAAATCTGAGGCACATATTAAAGGCCAGGCAGTTCTCAGTGAGATCAGAGAGTTAAGGTCACCAAGTTCAAGACCATTTGTATATTTGAAGGTCATGCTCAGCATTTTAAATTGAGCTCAATAATAAAAAGGTCAACCAATAAAATTGAAACAGGATTAAAAGTATATGCTCTGATTGCCAGATACTAGACAACAGTTTGCCGCCAATGAACTAATTTTGAACTCTCTGAACTATTTTACAGGATGTTTGAGGGTTTGAGCTTCATATGACATTTCTACCTCTGTCCACCACCTTGCTATCTTTCCATCGGTAGGTGAAGACCTTTCTGTTTCAACAACCCTTTGAAGACTGCTCAAGAGGAACACGATTTGTATAATATGACACACTCCTGATTTATTTTTGCCTTTTTAATTGTTATGTTTCAAACTGGTTTTAATTCAATTGATGATTTAGCTAGATTTTAAACTTTTTAATGTAATAAATTATTAGCTGTTTGCTTGTTGTAAATCACATTGAATGTTAAAGTGGGAGAAAAGATGTTACAATAAAAACCCACCAAACTGCTCCATGACAGGATGCTCCACGACTGTGAAACATAAATATGACCAACTTTCAGGAGACTTTTTATACTTTCTCTTTAATTTATATTGTTTATTAATCATTAAATTAAGCTGCTGTGGTTTTTGTTGGGATACGTACAATTTCTTTGAGCCACTCACCAATAACTTTGATACTGAAAGTACAGCTTGCCTGGTTTCCAGATCCGTCCGTTGCTGTATATGTGATGTCAACTTCTCCAATTGGGAAAAGGTAAGGTGGCACAAAAGCTGGAGTTACTTGAATTGATACCTGTGAGAGGATCAATATTTTAGAAGCACTAAATATTGATATCTTAGCCATAATTTACCTACGAAAAACTTCTCAGTTTTCACAGTTGACTCATATGAAAGACCTGAAACTTGTCCAGCATTCCTAAATATTCAGACTACATGCCTGAATCAACATTCACTGTTCTAATTTAAAAAACCCAAACCTTATTATAGAAATACTAGCTCTGTGAATAAGGCTGTGTTAGCACATACTGAAAAAAAAGTATTTCATTGCGTAAAACTTGCATTTTTTCCTTTTTTTGTCAGTAACTATGATGTGAAGAAAAAAATCATGCCAGTATTACATATTAGAAATTACTGCATTGCTGTCAGACAAACTGTATACAGTTTAGCTTGCATGGGAAGAATCCAGACTTCCCCCATCACATGACGTACTCTACCAACAGCAGCTTCACTCTTGCAGATACGGCTCTTCACTGGGCTGAGTTTGAAAGCAGGTATTGCTACTAGAAGTGTGCAATTTGGCCAAAAGACATGCCATTTCAGGGTCCATTTTCGGCTCACCCATCAGAACAATTCACCAATCTACTGACTTTTAAAGAATTATTTTAAGTTTTTACCATAACATTTTTTAAAAATAAGACAAACTGCAAGAGAGGGTTCAGGGAATTGTAGTTGCTAATTGTGTCCATTCTCAGCCAATCAGAACATGGACACAACTAGGCCTTTTATTGGCTGAGAAACAGAGATAGAGAAAAAACTTCAACTCCTATCATGCTCCGAGGGGAACTCAGAGACTTTTCAATGCCCACCCCATGCAAGTGCTGATGGGAAAACCCTCTCTGAAGGAGGAACCTAGGAACTTTTCCACTGTCAGGGAGGGAGAAAAGACACTGCAGGATCTTCTCCAGGAAGCCTGTGGCAGACCTCTGCCTCAGATATAATGGAGACTAAAATCTGGCTCTCTTGATCCATTTTGCTGAGCTTTTTGGTTCCCTCCTCCTCGTTCCGTTTTTGAGGATTATATGAAACGGACCACCAAATATTACAAATCACCAAATTTTACAAATCACCAAATTTTACAAATCACTTTTGGTCAAATTGATTTGGGGCCAACCCAGTGCTTTCGGACTCAACCCAGTGAAGAGAGTGACAATACTGGCTTTTGGACTCAACCCAGTGAAAAGCTGTAGTGGGTGCAAAGCTGTCACTGAGACAGCAGGTCATGTGACAAGGGAAGCCTGGATTCTTTCCACGCATGTTAGACTAAATACAGTTTGTCTGCTAGCAAAACATTGCACAGCTCACAAGATGCAACCCATTACATTACAAAAGAAAAAAGAATTGGGACCCAAAAGAGATGGCACAACTAAAAGCATGTATCTGGACTATGATTTTCAAAAGAAGGTTGTCATCATAAAAAGGAGAATTTTAATTTTCTGCTAGTTTTCTCCTAGTTTTCCACATCACAATTTTGGGGCTGAATGAGAAGGAAAGATAAAATTACTCTATTCCCTCTATTGATTTTGAATGGAATACCTGGGTATCAGGAAAAATAGCAATCGGTAAAATGTTAGGAAACCTTCTCTGGAATCAGAGACTGAAATTTTTAAAAATTGCTTTAGATTTTAAAAAAATCCAATGTACAGAGTAGTGGAATATACATAAGTGATGGGCTATATGTAACTTGAGGCTTTATTACTAGGATCCTCAGCAGAACTCCTTAATTCATGCACACCTGATAATAACATCTTGCTGCGCATGGATAAAAAAGGCCGTTCCAATTATATTCCTTGAATGCAGAAAGATCCTGCTGCACATCAGGAGTCCACACAAAATGATGAAGCATATCTATCGTATGCTGCTCTTTTACTAAACAAGCCAGATTAAAAATGTCCTTTTCATCAGAAATACATTAATCCTAAAAAGAGTCCACATGAAGAAGAAAAACACTTCTCACCTCATCTCTGGAGTTGTCATTTGCTTCCGGAACCTGCCAACTAATATTTGCAGAGTTCTGGTATTCAAGTGTAGAAGCTTCAATGTCATCAGGGCAGTTAATATTTGGTGGTTCAATGTCTAAACACAGAAGAAATCATAAGACCATTTTTCATTGTGGGTTTACTGAAAAGAACCGGGTGTTTGAATGGAATTTATTTTCTTAAACAGAAACTTGCTATTATGTCTTGATTTGTAAATCAGTTATACCCCAAACTGTTGTTATTATTTCTATCTTTAATAGTAAATTGCTATTGAAATAGCAGCAAAGTGTGTCCATTTCTCAACACTGATACACACACAGGTGATATTAACAGATTTTGTCTCTTTAGAAAATATGTGTATTAATCTCAACTCTCTTTTCAAAGTTTGCTTATGGATTAGCATGTTCATAGAAATAAACAAAAACTCAAAAGAAAATGCAAAAATTGACATAAATCTTACATTTCCATACATATCTTACATATGTGAATAGATTTTGCTAAGAGGAAGCTAGCTGCAGGTAGTTTTAAAACACGTACACTATCGTAGTAACATATTGTTATTGTATCACCCTGTATTCTTTAAATTACATTTTAAATAAATAAAAGGATCAGATAAAATTTGTCACTCTGTCTTTATGTTCAGGAATGTTTTAGGACATTTGTTGTTCTTCTATAAGTAAAATATTTCCTTGACATGAAGCCAGACTCAAATATCACATTATGATAACCACAGTTTATTACAACAGTATTCTTTGATTTCATTCTCTGTTTTCATTGTACAAAAACAACACCATCCAACTCTGAAGCAGGCCTCTCCTTGGAGTCCTAAAAATAACCAAACGTTCAACTGACTGCAGACTGAAAAGCAAGAATGTGAGGAAAGAATAAATGGTGTAGACATGGGCCTGAATGACACAGAGGCTAGGAGAAATTTAATATAAAATTACATTATACTGAGCTGGATCAATGATGTGTTAATCTTATACTGCAGACCATGACCAATACTGGCTTTCAGATGTCTCCAGAACAAGAGCAATTAGGTATCCTATGAAGACCCCTATTTTCCCCAAATTAGAGATGGCAGGCACTGAATCTAGGACTTTTTTGCATGATAAACATGTGCTTTTCCAGTAAGCGAAGGCTCCTGAACCAGAAAAGCAAAATACTACATAGAGGCACAGTTTACAAGACAGGAAGAACTGTGTACCATTGTCAAAAAGAAACTATTTAGGCAAAAGAGAGCAAGTTATATAGATCTAGAGCAGGAGTTGGAATAGTGTAACCTCCCAAGTCTTATTGAGAACTGGCATGGTATAGTGGTTTGAGTGTTGGACTTGAGCAACCAGGGTCAAAATCCCCACACAGCCAGGGAAGCTTATCGGGTAATCTTGGGCAAGTTACATACTCTTTGCCTTAGAGGAAGACTCGTCTAAATCTTTCCAACAATATCTAGTGATACGATCATCTTAGGGTTGACATAAGTCAGAAATTACTTGAAGTCAGACAGTAACAAATCAGTCTTAAAGCTGATCATTCAGGACTAATTTTAAATTAACTCAAAATCTAGCCATGTTCAATTCTGCTGTGAATGCAATAATACATCATGGCTTCTGGTGCAAAGGGAAGGAGAAAGAAACAGGTTTATGAGGTAGAAGAATAGAGCACTCCAGCCTCTGGGGATATTCTTGACATTTGATAGAGCTTGAAAATGGTTATGCCTACACTAAGACAATGTTGACCATTCAACACCAGTAATCACCACAATCCTGTCTACTCCAATTTCAAATGTACTGTTTCTTCATCAGCCTCTTCCACTACCACATCTCTTTCTTTTTAAACAAAAGGATAATATCATCAAATTCATACCTTTACAGAAAGCCTTCTGCACATTTTCACTCCATCTCCCATTGGTTAAACACCGCAGTTCTTCTCTAATTCCAGACAAAAGGAATCCGTTGGGACAAGTGAACCTGCACACAGTTCCATACTTGGATGGCTCAAATCCACAGAGATGGGGGTGAACAGTTACATGCTTTGGTTTCTGGAAGGCAGGGCAATTCAGTTCTAGAGAAAGGAGGCACACGAATATCAATGGACACATACAGAACAAGGATACACATCTAATGCTTCACAAGACAGTAGCACAAATACTGCTATATGTGAAATAAAAGAAACCCATTAAATCAAGTTGGAAGGATCACTAAAGGCCAGAAGGGTTTGAAAGATGTTCAGTGTTGCCAAAAACATTTTTGAAAAACCAAAACCAAAATGATCAGCATCCACAAGTACTTGAGAATGATTGATAAAGTTCTTTTCAATTGTTTAAAAATTTGGCTGTTAACCATCCATCTTGGGACCGACACATAGAACCACATAGAGCTTTGTTGATTCTTTCATTCCCAACAATATATGAAAGGATGAAAAGCTGAGATATTGGGACAGAAATCCTACTGGAGTTCAGCACTGCACTCGCTGCCTTTTCAGTGAATATGGCACTAGATAAGAGGTGCGAGGTCCACAACTAGAGCTGAGCTTGGCCCTGTCTACACTACCATATAATGCAATTTCAGAATGCAATTTAACTGTATTCTGAAACTGAATTATATGGCAGCAAAATGCTCTCAAGCCTGTTCTCCCTTCTTTAGTCTTCTCCATTCACTCTGAAAAAGGAAGGGGGGAAATGGGAAACTATAACTTCATTGAAATCTGGTGTTTCTGTCTACATCTTAAGAGAACAAGGGAATACACATGTGATGAAATTTGAACTGTTTGCTTTCCATGCTGTCATCAGCTTGAAATACAGAAGGGTCATTTTCAGAAATGTGGGTTGGATTCCTGCAAAAACTGATGTTTTTGACACATCTTCTTGCACTCTTCAGTTAAACAAATAAAGTGTTTGCAAGTGAGATCAAGTGGCTGAGTACAGCTGCACAAGGCCTAGCACTCTCTGTAGATAAATCTGACATCCAGCAATTTCTGATGCCTGCCAAAAACAACAGTAGGAATGAAAGCTATTCCATAGTTCAGGACCTCACATTTATGCACAGTTTATATCAATGGTGCCCAGTTTGTTTATCACAAAGGGCACAATGAAAGCACAGTAAGTGCCTGAAAATCTTGATATTCAGTATAATTTAGACAATTGGGCTTAATGTATTATGATAGCATTTTTCACCAATTCCCTGATGCTCTTTCCTTTGAATACGATGAACTTGTTACAGAAAACTGCACGTAAACATTATTTTACATTTGAATAAGTTATCTTAACTTAGTCTCCAAGTCTTTGTAACTTAAATTATCATTTGTAAGGCTTGTGTACATAGTTGTGGAAGACACTAGCCATCTTTTTGAAGTCTAATGAATATCTACAAGTCAATGATTTAGGTCCCTACTTCAGTAATACAATATTTTTGTATTGCAGGAAAACAAAAACAAAAGCCAAAATTCAAGCAAGCTTTCGGAAACACAGCATAATCAGATAAACACAGCATGATGAAATAACAAACACGCAAAGGTTTAAACAATGTAAATGGATAAGGAGTTGAACTGGAGAACATTGATTATTATAGTTTTAATTGGTTTTATATGATTTTATTGTGTAATATTAAATGCTTTTAATTGATATGTATGTATGTATGCTGTGGCATCTAATTGTTGCCGATCTGTACGCTGCCCTGAGTCACCTTCAGGCTGAAAAGAGCGGGATAAAAACGCTGTGAATAAATAAATAAATAAATAAATAAATAAATAAATAAATAAAATCTAATTGAATGAAGACAGAGAGAAACTGTAACTTGATTGTGCTAAACAAAAACAATGAATAATGTGCTTTGATTTTTCCCCTCTGTTTTATCTTTGGAGGACATTTTGATTGCTGCTACAACTGCTAAATTTTTGTGCTGAGTTTCTGTTTATTTATTTACCACACTTATATCCCACCCTTCTAACTTTGAAGGGGACTCAAGGCAGACTTACAACAGTCCTGTGGTTTAAAAATCTGGGTAAAAATCCTCTTCCTTCTTGCCATCATCACCATCATTAACAATCAGTGCCAATAGAAGAAATATAACAAATACATACCTACACACTTTGGTTCCTTCCCATCCCATTGTGCATTGCTTTGACAGGTGAGTTTGGCATTGCCTTCTAGTTCATAACCATCATTACAGGTCACAAAGCACACAGTCTTATATGAGATCTCACTTCGTGAGCAATTAATCCACCCATTTTGAGGGACAAAGAGTTTTGGACATGTACGAACTGCAGATATGAAAACAAATACATTATTAAGTTTACTGAAAAAAAATAAATCAAAGGGATATGTTACAACCTTTCTCTTAGTAATCACAACTCTTACAACCTTTACACACAGTGAAATAGGAAGAACAAAACTTTAAAAAACTGTGTTCAGATTTTGATTGTAGAGTTTCATGCATTTTAAGTCAGAGAATGCAGAGGCAGCAGCAATATTTGGAGACATAACATAACAAGTAAGACTGCCAATATGGAATGCTCTACAGCATGAAATTGTACTCAGCAAAAAGTTTGTTGACATGACCCAGCAAAAGGGATTTACTTGTGCACAAGGGATCAAGTGAGAATCTTCCCCCATTTCTGTTTATGAAACTAGGAGATCTGTTATCTATATTTGTATTTGTAAACACTGTGCTCTATTCTAGCATGTATCCTTAGGATGTTTATCACAATCTTCCTCACACAAGCTTTAGCTTTGTAATGATCAATATAAGTATGTCTTAAGAGTCCTTTTCATCTAAACTGCCTATGTCCACCTGTCTCAATTCATTGTTATTCAGATGAGAATCTCAGGAGCCTTTCAGACTACACAAATATAGCACAATGATTATAATTCCATCTATGGAATCCTGATGTTTGCAGTTTGGTGGAAAATTCCAAGTACCACTTCCTAAACAGCAAATCCCAGGATTTCAAAGGATGTTGCCATGGCACTTAAAGTGGAATCATATTGCTATGCTGTGCAAAAAGTCCCTTAGCCAGCCGAATAAGAGGAATAGGCCCCTTTTCACAAATACACTTGCTCCCCCATATTTTCATACATGGTTAATAAGACTAAATACCCCCTTCTTTCTTCTCGCCACATTATTTTGTTTACCTTATGTAACCCGCATATTAATTATATCTGAAAAATAAGACCTTCTGTTGATTCCACTCAAGGTACAGCCTGACAAATCTTTTATTATACAATTTGCTGCCCATTTCATGGATATCTTATCTGCAGCCCTCCTATGTTTTCGCATTGTACTTGCACAATACTTTTTAATGATGTGGTGTAGTAGCTTCATGTCTAAAAGCATCCTAATCACCTTCTTCTACTCCTTTTTCTTAGCAAATTCCTAGTTATTACATTTCACTTAAGCCCTAAGAGAAAGTTTAGACACATAGAAAGTTTTAAATTTAGAAATTATTTGCAGATAACTCAGTCCACATAAATCTAAAAACAAATAACCTGGAAATGTGCCAAATGAACTCGATCAAACAGGCATTAGAATAACGCAAGGATTTAATACAACTCTTCCTGGTAAATTTCTGAAGAAAGCAATCTTAAGTGAGTTCATATTTCTTCCATGCCAGTACCGCTGGGCTCAGATATGGACTGATTAGAAAATACCAAGCAAATTTCAACTCTTCCATTAAACAAAAAAAAATCAAGTTCTTAAGGGCAATTAACAATCTTAATTGTTTTTTGAAGCAATTGTCAAATATGAACTCAGAAAACCACAAGCATGCAATGGGAGGTCATCCAGAGATATTTACACATTTCCAAAGCTGACAAGCAATAACATCCTCTGAGATATCAATCAAATTAAGGCAGCTGTACAAATAAATATTTGTGTATTTCTGAGGCATAACCCTGAAAGCAGAAACAGTAGAAACAGAAGCAGATGCAACACCAGCTCTCATTAGATGAATGCATTAGATGAAAGCTTGCAAACGGAGCTTTGAAACAACTGAGCAAAAAAGAAAACAAGAGAACGGAAAAACAAAGCAGCCATCCAAGCATCCATTTCACATCTGTGCAGTAGGAATGTTTCACTGTTAAGATCCATAATTTTTATTACAGCTATGTTTACTTTGGCAGACTCTGTTATTTCTGCACCGAATCTTTATAATATTGAGGAGAAGCAGCTAAAATTCTTCCATCGTACTTAAGGACTGTATTGCCAAGTTTCTTTTTTTAAAAAAAAATCTGTGATAGATTTAAGAATGATCAACAGTCCTTCTGCCCTTAACATATGCCAGTTACCAGGGGACTTATAATATCTTTACAATGCCCTGTGGATCAATATCCAGAGCTACACTGCTGTGTGTAAATCTCTCAACTGTTTGCCTTATTTTAAAATTTCTAGCTGTCAACTTAAGAATCTGTGGCTGTGCTGTCTATCATTATTTAGATTAGATGCTGCATGTTTGAGAAGCCTGCAAGCCTTTATTACCTCCAAACTACATCAGTGACTAGATTAGTAGGGTGCACTTATATGGTAGAGTTAATGGCAGTTTCACAACACTTTAACCACCATGGTTCAATGCTATTCACTCATGGGAACTGCGGTTTTAAAGGGTATTTCACCTTCTATGCCAAAGACTACTGATGCCTGACAAAACTACAAATCCCAGTATTCCATAGTACTGAGCCTTGGCATTTAAACTGGTGTCAAACTGCACTAATTTTACAGTGCAGATGCACCTACTGATGCTTTATATTCATGGGCAGTATGATGTCTATACTGCAACTGGGGAGAAACAGCTATATTATATGCATATGCAGTTTAGTATTTGTAGCTCATAGAACCAACATTTCAGAATTTTCATGCAGATTAATGCAGCTGTAAGTACTCTAAGTATATTTCAGTCCCCATGAATGTTGAAATGAAATGAGATCTTACACATGCTGCTTAGCCTTCACTTTTCTTGCTTCTAACACATAACACATAAACACAAACATATAAAACTTACTGTCAGCAGAAAAAACACAGGTCTACTGCCAGCAGAAAATATACCACTAGAAGATCAAATTTCTCCTCCCCTAGTTGCTCCTCAAATATCATATCTAAATTAAAAGGTCCTCTCTCTAAGTCCACTGCACAAGTAGTGATCTACACATTTTATACTGGTTTTAATCTGAGAACCTATGAATACACAAGTGCAAACATACATGAAAGCAGAAATTCAAAGAGACTCAGTTACCATTCATTGTGAAACCAGAAACCCTTCTGACAAAGTTGCAGTTATGATGGAAAAAGAATTAAAGCAGCAATTATTGGTCATACCTCTTCATGAAAGATTATGTCATACACCGAAAACTTGTTTTCTGCAGAGAAATGCTATTACCTATGAAGGATATGCTCTTTTCTATGTAAGAAACATGTTTTCTGCATAGAAATCATGTTTTTGGTAAAGAACAAAACACACACATCATGCAGAATAAATCCCACTATACAAACAATTCTCTTCTATAGGCTTTTCCTCATCTGGATTTTCTGACACTCCAGACCATGTCCACTCCTTCTATAGCTATGGCATAGATATGAGATAAGGACCACTGTGCAAGTAGAGCTAGCAGCATGCTCATTGTTCAACAGCTCCTGTTTCACAACTTGGGACACATTGTGAAACAATGCCTGTTGCACAATGGCTCCAAATTTACAACATGTATCATTGAACAACATGTCCTGATGAACATCTCCCAATGTACAATGTGAGCCATTGCACAATATAACCCAATGTATAGTGCTTCTTGATGTACAATGTTTCTTGATGCATATTTCCAAGAGGTCCAGTCAGCCTGATATCAATACCAAGAAAGATTCTGGAGCAGATCATCCAGGAGGCAGGCTACAATCACTTAGAAAGAAAAGTCAACATGGATTTCTCAAAAACAAGTCATGCCAGACTAATCTTATCTCTTTTTTCGATAGAATTACAAGCTTGGTAGAGATGCAGGGAATGTTGTGGATGTAGCATATCTTGATTTCAGTAATGCCTTCAACAAAAACCTTCTTGGAAGCAAATTAGCCAAATGTGGGCTAGGTAATACTACTATTAGGTGTATCTGTAATTGGTTAAGTGACTGAACCCAAAGGGTGCTCACCAATAGTTCCTCTTCATCCTGGAAAGAAGTGACTAGTGGAGTGCCATAGGGTTCGGTCCTGGGCTCATTACTGTTCAACATATTTATTAATCATTTAGATGAAAGTTTAGAGGACATGCTGATCAAGTTAGCAGATGACACCAAATTAGGAGGGATAGCTAATACTCCAGAGGACAGAATCACAATTCAAAATTACCTTAACCAATTAGAGAGCTGGGCTAAAACTAAGAAAACAAATTTAACAAGGACAAATGTAAGATACTACACTTAGACAGAAAAAAAATGAAATGCAAAGATACAAAATGGGTGATGCATGGCTCAACAATAGTCTATGTGAAAAAGATCTTGGAGTCTTTGTGGGCAACATGTTGAACATGAACCAACAGTGTGATGAAGCAGCTAAAAAGCCAATGGGATTTGGGGCTGCATCAAAAGGAGTATAGTGTCTAGATCAAGAGAAGTCATGGTGCCTTTGTAATCTGCTTTGGTTAGACCTCACCTGGAATACTGTGACCATTTCTGGGCACCACAGATCAAAAGAGGTATTGACAAGCTTATTTATTTATTTACAGTATTTACAGTATTTATATACTGCCTTTCTCACCCCTGGGGGCAACTCAAAGCAGTTTACACATAAATAATGGCAAGATTCAATGCCTTACGTTGGGCACCGATATGATGCCAATACAAACAATTACAATAGTAAAACCACATTGCTCTGAGTCCTACTCTTCGGGGCAGTAGAAAACAAGCCTGCTCCCTCTTCCTTGTGACATCCTTTCAAATATATATATATATATGGCTGGCTATTATGTCTAAATAGCAAATATGTATTAGTAATACCTGGGCACAACATACATGATAAAATGTAGTATCTATAGGACCAAAAACTCAAATTCTGTATGTGTTTGACTTCCTAATTGTATTTTGCAACATTAAATCCACATTTCAAGTGCTAATGCGTATACATGTAGCCAAACACTTCATGGCTGTCTGATAAGGCAGCCTCCATCATATTTAGGAATGTGTGGGAGACAGTATAATTGAAACAAATCCATAGCAGCTGTTCTTTCAAGGTAAAAAGCTTCCTACCTCTGCATGTTGTTTCTGAACCAGACCATATGCCATTTGCCTGGCAAAGTCGTATACTGCTTCCCACAAGATCAAATCCTGTTTTACATCGGATTCCACAGGCAGCATTGAAATTATTGTTGCAGACATTCTGGATAAAATAGCCGTTTTCAGGAGGATGTAGCTGAGGGCAATGGACCACTATTTAGAACAAGAAACAATTAGAAATGCATGATAAAAATTTACAGCATAATTATATGCACAAGGAAAGTCCCACTCCTATTAAACAAGTTTTCTTTTGATTGTGTATAATAGGGTAACTAAGAGGTGGCTCTCTAGATGTTCTTGGACAACTACCACCAGCCCTAACTAGCACAGTCAGTGAGAAATCACTGGAAGTTCGAGTCCAACAATGCCTGCAGGACTACAAATTGGCTATCTTGGCAAATTGGCTATCTTGGCACCATAGCAGTCGTTTTGTTTATAGTGCCATTTAGCGTGTGTTCTTACAGTCTGCCTCCCCCAACCCTCCAACAGTATATAAAACACTCAGGATCCTGGAACTTCTTGATATGGGTTAATAAATCATGCAAAATGTCCCTAAAATCATTTTGCCTAACCGTGTTAATTTCCTGGTACTATAAATAGACAAGAGGGAGAACAGGAAGTATTCTAGGCTTGCTCAATACCTGGTGAAATAAGAAATCTAACTAAGCCTGCTGTGCCATAAGCATTTCATAATTTTCTTTGAGATACAATTTACCTTCACAAGTCTGGCCTTTAGCGTGATACCCTTCTTTGCACATACAGTCCTCAACAGAAGTACTTCCAGGTGGAGAGGTATGATTCTCATCAGGACAAGCAATGCAGGTGCTTATTCCACCTGGTGAACCTTCAGGCTTGTAGGTCCCTGGTGGGCAGGCTGCAAAACAAAGTAAATGTCAAAGCCAATTTACTGAACCATTTCTGGGTCTGACTGTTTATTTTCTGCCCAGATTACAGGTTCACCCCATTCTGCTTTGCAGATGTAATACCAAATGCATATATGCATTTTATTCACAGCATACAACAATATGTTGTTTTATGATGCTTTTGAGCAACACTACAACATATGTCCCCAGTGATTTTCACAAACAGGTAGGTTTTTCCCCATTTCATTCTACCTATTTAACTGATATACCCATGGTGCTGCTCTCTCAGATGCATCTTTATAAATGCTCCAATGGAAAAAGGCAGGCAATGTAAAAATAATATATCAATATGCTAATATGCCAGTAACGACATATTATAATGAATTTATTCAGTGAACTCAATTAGAAGTGGGAAATAATCCTTCCATGACATATTTCATACCTGATGCTAATAACTGGTCAGATTAAAACATTTCATGATCTGCTTTGCACTGTTATAGGACCTGAGGAACCAATTAGCATGTTTTTACATTTTTTGTAACACGGCGCAAACACTGATAATCCAAACACTTAAGAAGATCTAAAACAAGAGTTGGACCCCCGTAGTTGTATTACCAAACTCAAATCAAGTAGAAAGGGATACTAATGGATGGGAGAAAACACTTTAACTAAAAAACAAAAAAGAATAAAAAGCAATAAACCCATAATATCAAATATGATCCCAGAGGCTCTTTCAGACAGAAAAAGGTGTATTTAGTGGCTATATAAAAAATGAAAATAGGAAACTAGTGGAGAGCAAGTGTGATGTAGTGGTTTGAGCATTGGGATATGACTCTGGAGATAAGGCTTCCATTCCCTGTTCAGCCATGGAACAACTCCAGGTGACCTTGGGTGAGAAACATACTTTCTGCTTCATTAAACCTCATGATAGAGTCACCTTAGGGAAGTTTGAAGGCACACATATCAGTGGGCTTTAGGAGTCCATACAAGATTCATCCTAAAGACTCTATTGTCACACAGGTGCTATGGTTCTCAACCTTGCTCTGGTCTTATCTATTTTCTCCTCAGAGGTGCCTCCTTATAGTAAGGTGCTATGGGCAGGATGGCTTTACAGACTGCTTGGACCACTTCAAAACAGGTTATCTCAAAGCTAGGCATTTGGATACAAATGAGAATCTGCACAATCACTTCCTGGCTGCACAAATGTTACAACTGCAGAGTGAAAAGCTATCCATGAGCAACAAAAATCCCATTGCTCTCTCAAATAAGAATTCTATCCACCCAAATGTAATTTTCCTTCAGCATTGTGGACACTGAGACACTGAAATATTTTTATACTGAAGATTTCTATTTTTTTCATGAGCTTGCATTCACTTGGTAGCTTTAATTGCAAATGCTCTACTAAAGGTGTAAGTTACTGCAATGCTAGAAAAGTGAAAAACAAAGGAAAATTTAATGGGATTTATTGTTATTGTGGACAACGTCCTTATTTTCCAACCATCTTTGGTAGCTTCACCCTCTGCTCTGTTACTTCAGAGACTACAAAGTAATTTTTTACATTAAAAAAATGCTGGAAATTTGGGGACTGAAGGGAAGTGTTAGTTAAGGAGGGCCTTCTTCTGCCCCCATCCCATTGGCAATGAAGTTGTTCTATCACTATAGAAATCCAGCTACCTGCCTGACTCTTGGCTTACAGAAGTGCTGAAGCTGAAGAGTGACCCAGCAGTGCTGTTTAGAATGTGGAAAGGGGCACCAGTTCTTCCACTGCTCAAGGTAACTGCCTCACTTAACTTAATGGCAAGGATAGACATTCATATAAAAATGGTACCATGGATATGGGATCCAAAAGATAAAAAAAAATTGGAATGTGTCTAATAAGGAAGCCAGCCAGCCAGCCAGCCAGCCATACTTCTTTCTAGACCATACTTCTTTCTGGACAACTTTATCTTTATTCTCTGTCCATGCTGATTTTGCATTTCTCACCTACCCAACATGCCTAAACTTTTAACATTACGTGTCACTGGAAGTGCTATTGGGAAGGGGAGGAAAGATGAAAGGAACCCCACACCCAATAGGAATTCTGCCTTTTCAAATAAAAAATTTCTCCATCTAGCATTGGGCAGAAATATGATAGCTGGGACCCTACAATGGTTGCGCAAGGCGGGTCTGAATTAATGAGGGGAACACGTGCACAAGACAACAAAGCCAATGGGAGACGAAGCTGCATCAGAGTCATGGCAACATTGTTTGCCAGGAAGGGGGAGAGGTAACATTTCTATCCCGTTTACCATCTCCGTAAGCCGTTGTTTATCATTTAACATTAAATAACTCTTACATTACTTCACCCTTATCCTGTTGCACCTGAGTTAAATTACTTCACTCCTATCCTGTCACAGCTGTGTCTCTCATTTGCTCCACTGTCTTGCGCATGTCTTCCCTTCATTAATTCTGACCCGGGTTGCGCAACTAGCATAGCGTAGGGACCCAGCTATCATACTTTTGCCTAGCATTGCAGGATGAGACAATGAAAGCTGCTCAAACCTAGACTTCTTACATTAGGAACTTTGTTGACAACTTTTCTTTAAATGCCTAAACCGTGTCTGTAAATGCCTGACTCAAATTGAAATGTTATGTTACAGAAATGCTAGAACTGAAGAAATAAATTACCTGGGAAGGTAACTTGGGACACTCAGTCTTCACTATGCTATTGTGGGTTTGCTTTTGCCATTTTTGTCACCTTGTGATTGCATCTTGGAATTAGGCAAGACAAAGTAAAGAAATTGCTTTAGGAGTCAAAAGTTGGCATGTGTACTCTCTCATGTTCTACAACTGCTTGGTGGTGATCTTGAGATTTAATATTGCTGAAGATGTATAGAACAGTGGTTCCCAAACTGTGGGTTCCCAGATTTTTTGCCTTCAACTCTGAGAAATTCTAACAGCTGGTAAACTGGCTGGGATTTCTGGGAATTGTAGGCCAAAACACCTGGTGACCCACAGGTTGAGAACAGTTCATGCCAATGGCGTTGTGACCTGTATGTCTGTTGACCATGTCCACAAAACTAAGATTCATTTTTATTAAATCTAATTTGTGATACTTCCCCACCACTTTTCCAAGACAAATCAAGGAACACTTGTACCAAATGCTTGTACACTGGGGTCAATGGGAGGACACAGAAAAAGGAAAAAAGCATATGTTATGCTTCCCTGATCACTGCTTTTGTAAACTTTCTGTGTATTTTTATACACTGTTACTGAGTTTTACTTTTCTCTTTGAAAGTTTCAGAAAAAACAGCATTGCTAAACCATACTGAATATATTTCCCCTTGAACTAAGCAATAGGACTAAATTAATGAGTAATTATTCTAGTATTATATAAAAATGAAGTCTTTAATACAATTATAAATCAGCAAATCGTGAAGGAGGCCAATGGTTTGTACTTCCTGTGCTTTGATGTTCTCAGACATATCAAATAGTATATGTACAGAGAAGCCTAATTTACGAGCTTCAGTAACCTTGCCATGGCAATTGGCATAATGAGGAATTCTAACTTGCTTGTGTTTCCATATACTCATTTAAACTTTGACAAAGCAACATAAACTAACATGTTTTCTGAAAAGTTTGTGTCAAATGATAATAAGACTGCCATGGGTAAATGAATGAACTGAGTTCAGATATACAGAGTATCTGTTGAACGTACTACTCTGTAATGACCCTTTTTACTGACATCTGGTTGCTCTCAAGATTAAAATACAAATCTTTATGCTATCGGCATTGATTTTTGTTTGTATTTCTCTTATGAGTCCCAGGACCTTTTTTTAGAAAATAGTAATACAGTGTTATGATTCTACTTTAGCTGTCATCTTTCATACTCTTGGGATTTACAGTTTAGTGAGATACTGTATATTTCATCATCCAGTGCCTCAACAAACTATATACCATATCTCAGGATTGCACAGGATGCAGCCATGGCTGTTAAAGTGGAATCACATAGTATTATGTAATGTGAAAAGCCAATGTGCCCTTGTGGTTTAAGCATGGGATTAGGAGTCTGGGGGAGGATCTAGACAGCCCTTTATCCCAAAAGCATCTGCGTTAAAAAAGCGCAGATGTTTTGGGAGGGTTGCCCATATCCACCCCAAATGTGTGCTTTCTGGGGTGGGAGGCCCTACCCTCCTTCCCCAAGCTCCCAGATCATTTAGAAAAGTAGAAAAAAGGCTTACCAGCCTGAAGTATTCCCTTTGTGCAGCTCTCCTGGCGCATACAAATGATAGGAGAGCAGGGGGAAGTGATTTTCCTCTCCCACCCCCACCTCTCCTGGCGCATCATTTGTATGTGCCAGGAGAGCTGCACAGAGGGAATACTGCAGGCTGGTAAGCTTTTAAAAACTTTTCTAAAGGGTCTGGGGGCTTGGGGGGAGGGGTGGGTATTCCCACAGTTTATTTAGCCCAGTAAACTGTGGGAATGGTATCTGGACTATAGTTCAGACACCAGAAATAGTGCATTTATCCCTCGCCTTCCAAGGTGCGGAATAAATGCACTAACAAATTAATTTGCTACAAACCAGGGTTTTCCTGGTTTGTAGTGAATTAATGTCATCTGGACAGCCCCTTTTTTATTGTGGAAGTTTCCGCAATAAAGGGGTTGTCTGGATGGGTTCTGGAAAACCAGGATTCACATTCCTACTCAGCCTTGGAAATCATGGGCCATCTAGTCCAACTCCCTGCCATGCAGAATATTTCAGAAGAGAATGACAAACCCCATTTGAACAAAGTTTGCCAAGAAGAGTGATAAGTAGCAAGGGAGGAGGACAAAATGTACAACTCAGCATTACACAATAGGATGAACATTTTGCTTTAAGAAGATGGAATTTTGATCTATCTCAGTGGCATTGGTATAGTTATTGTAAGATACCAAAAAGGGGAATTGCAATCATTTTCTTAATACACAATAGGAGATTTTTTTTTACATGGCTCTCTAACTTTGCCAAGACTTTACCCTGAAGTCCTTTTTG